AGTTGTCCCACTATATCCAGTCACCACTTATACAGTTGTCCCACTATATCCAGTCACCACTTATACAGTTGTCCCACTATATCCAGTCACCACTTATACAGTTGTCCCACTATATCCAGTCACCACTTATACAGTTGTCCCACTATCCAGTCACCACTTATACAGTTGTCTGACTATATCCAGTCACCACTTATACAGTTGCCTGACTATATCAAGTCACCACTTATCTAGTTGTCAGACTGTATCCAGTCACCACTAATAAAGTTTTACAATTCTATCAAGTCAACACTTCTACAGTGGTCCCATGGCCACTATCCAGTCACCACTGATGAAGTTGTTCAACTCTATCAAGTCAATACTTATACAGTTAATTGTCACATTATCCAGCCAACATTCATGTAGTGTTTTGACTATCCCAGTCTCCACTTGTACAGTTGTCCCACTATCCAAGCACTGTCCAACTAAATCCAGCCACAACTTATCTGTTTGTCCCACTATCCAGTCAGTGATTTGGAGGTCGTTGGTATAGTTCAATAAACAATGTCTCAAACAATAGACTGTAGATCATAGATACATGAGTTCATTTTAGTGGCTAAGCAACACATTGAGTTTGCTTTAACAAAATTGTTCCCCACACAGACTTTGATGAGAATGAATTCTTAATCACTCTAGAATGTTGACTGATTTTTCTCTGATGATCATAATAGCAAAAAATCACTTGAATGTTGAATAGATTTTCTCCAGTGATTGTGATGATGTACAATCAGGGTAGAATGTTGACTGGTTGTTTATTGTGATCAGTTTTGTTGGTCTGATTCTGTGCTGTCATGGTAACTATACCAACTGCTGTACTGTAGTAGTTTAACATAATTCCTATGAAACCCCGCCCACAGGACATCCTCCCTGTTTACACCTACAGCCCATGTATGCAATGGGTCTGTGTGTATGATCCTGAGGAACACACCACGTCCACTGATGAGTAGGACTCTGAAGTTCTTAAAGTCCCCTATGATAATGTTCCCTACACTGTCATACACCACATCCTTGGGGTTAAATGGTCTATCTCCTTCATGTGATGATCGTTTATATGTACTGGGGATGTCACCTCTATATACAAACAGTTCCTTGAAATCAGTGTCAATAACAGAAACATGTTGTATCCCACCACTATCCTCACTATTATAATTCCCATCAACCACTGCGACATTGTGAGTGACAGGACACTCTGAGATCCTATGTGGTGAACACACTAATGGCTTCCCAGTCCCTGTAGCACTTGTAGTGAGTACCATTTGACCTTTTGTGGTAAATTTGGAGATGTTTTTGGTCATCCCCACAATGATATGGTTACTGGCAGTAACACATATACACCTGGGTCTCTCCTTGGTGCTGAATCTGTTTGTTAGTTGTCCTGATACCAGCTCCATGATGTTGTGTTTTGTATCACAGACCCACATTGTGTGTGTTGTTGGTGACAGACTTAAGTCAATGATGCCAGTTTTGTGTTTGACCTCCTGTATTACTTTCCCCTTCCTGTCCAGGAGAGTTAATGTGTTCATGTAATGCACATTGGTCCACACCTGACCTTCAGTGGTGGGGCAGATACACTCTATAATATCATCAACAGGAGACTCCCAATCCTCCAACACTTTGGTCTGTGGCAGTATTTTGTACATAGCAATTTTCCCTACGGCCAGTTCTAGGTGATGTTGAAAGGTTTCGTTTGGAGTGAAACTGGCAGTACGCAGGACAGGTTTTACAGGGAGACTTATTTGGGAATGAATTTCACATCCTGTGTCGTAGATTTCTATGTGAGAACCATGCTGGAGTGCTGCTTTGCATTCTCGAATTTGTTGTCTGAGTTGCTTGTCGTACATTTCAAGGCCCTGTTTGTATTTCTGTATCAGCTTTGTATTATCCTCCTCCATTTTGTCATAAAGAGACAGTGTCTGTGCTGTAAGCAAGTCGAGGTCATTCTTTAATTTTCCTGTTTGCATTTGCAACTTGTGCGAAAGTTTCTCAAAATCGCTGGTGTTGTCTTTAAGAAGTGTATCAGTAGATGTGATGTATTTCCTAACCTGTACTAGGTGAATTTGTTCAGTTCTGTCAATAAAGTTTTGAATGTCTTGTTTCTTTGTAGAAGTAATATCGCTGAGTTCACAAACATCATGGCCTTTGTGAGTAGATAGCAGACACTTAAGACATACAAGTGTATCACATTTCTCACAGTAAAGTTCCAGATGTCTCCCCTTGTGTTCAGTACAGGTACGGAGAGGGATTTGACCTATGGGTGTTGCCATGTTGATGAAAAAGTTGAGGAAGAGAAAAGGAAGTCTATAAATAGACCCAAATAACTTGTCTATTATAACTGATATTGAATAACAGGCACAAAATATACTTTATTTTATGTCTCTAAATCTTGACTTTACACTGAGCTCCAATCCAGGTACATGTGTTCATAAAACATAATTGTAAAGATTGAAAGCATATAACTACCTGATGATCACTTTCATTCCAAGCCTCAGAATGTAAACGTCAAGGAAACGGGTACATATTGTTGTTGTCTATATCACCAGCATTGGAAACGAAGCCTGGAATGAAATTCCATCTAGTTGTTATGATAAATCACTTGTTTTCTGGCTGACAGACCAAGGAGACATTTCTGGTCAATGTCAGTTTCTCATTGTTAATACAACGTCCAAACTGAACAAGCCTTGCTGGCCACCATTTATAGATCATTCTGTTCAGACTTGAAACTATACAGACAATTCTACTTCCCTGTTTGATGTGGTTATCAATATACACACAGTGACAATAGAGGGATAGATTGCGTAGTAATAGGTCAATGTAGGTCCTTGTCCAGGTAAACCTCCATTATCTTACTGCATTCATAAATCACATGTTTTCTGGCTCAGAATTCAGTTTTGTTCTTTAGAAATATTTCTGGTAAATGTCTGTTCCTCATTGTTTATACAAGTCCTAACTGAATACGCTCCTTGGCCACCATTTGGAGATCTACCTGTTCAGCTGGTAACTATACGGAAAATAGAACTTCCTTGTTGTGCGAGGTAGCCGACAGGACTACAGAAAACGTATTAGGGTAGATTGTGGAGTAGGTCAATGTAGGTCGTGTTTACAGACCCTGGTATCTATACATACCTACAGTTTTACCTCAGCTGTGTAGTGTCTGATAGTTATATGTGTATTAGGTAACAAGACAACCCCAAAGTGTATGTATATATACCTCCCTGTTGATAGTTTTAATTGGTAAAATTACCATAATTTGATTTACATAAAATGTGAACTTTTTGTATTTTGTTGGCATTGTTTTTTATATTATTATATAAATATATGTTTATATCATATTGGCAAAGAAGTGCCTAACGACAGTTCAGACCGAGATATTTATTTATTTCCCAGAGTGATCCGCCCCTTTATCAAGACAGAAACATGAACATTTACATATCACAACATATAACAGAGACAGACAGTCACCATGAAATAGCAATACAACAAGCTTTAAGTAAGACAGGATTTAACAATATATGATACAAGTACAGTATATATTATATATGTACAGATTGTATTAAGGCTGCCTGTTGTAACTTATTGTCAGAACTTATTCTGTACCGCTACCATGCATATTACAAATATTGTGTATGTATATCGCACAAAGACAATAATGTCTATTGCAAGAAATAAAAATTAAGGTTATATTCCATTTAAAAACAAAAGATAAAATCATTAATTCTTATTGCTGTATATAACAGTATCTATTTTAGATAAGTATATCTTATAATTATTAAAAACGTAGGATCTAAGGAATGCCAGATTGAAATAAATAAATGTTCATAAAAGATATGTCAGCAATAAAGTGATTAGATTTTATTTGGACAAAATAATTTGTCAAACTTTCCTGAAAATCTGAACTAGTTTCTATGTGGACAATATAATTTGTCAAACTTTAGAGAAAATCTGACCCTTTGTCATGACCCAAACATCAATCAACTACATTAATCTACACAGATATACCAGACAATGTAAGATTACCAGTACAATATATAGGAATAGTGTTAATAAATATCTTTAAGCCCATTTTTAGCTGACTTCACTGAAATTTTACTCCATTATTACTGACACTTGACTATAAGGACATCCTGTAATATCAAGTAAAACCTGACTTTACTGACACCTGACTTTAAGGACATCCTGTAATATACAGTAAAACCTGACTTTACTAACACCTGACTTTAAGGACATCCTGTAATATCAAGTAAAACCTGACTTTACTGACACCTGACTTTAAGGACATCCTGTAATATACAGTAAAACCTGACTTAACTGTTCCTGACTTTAAGGACATCCTGTTATATAAAGTAAAACCTGACTTTACTGACAACAGACTTTATGGACATCCTGTAATATACAGTAAAACCTGACTTTACTAACACCTGACTTTAAGGACATCCTGTAATATACAGTAAAACCTGACTTAACTGATACCTGACTTTAAGGACATCCTGTTATATAAAGTAAAACCTGACTTTACTGACAACAGACTTTATGGACATCCTGTAATATACAGTAAAACCTGACTTTACTAACACCTGCCTTTAAGGACATCCTGTAATATACAGTAAAACCTGACTTTACTAACACCTGCCTTTAAGGACATCCTGTAATATACAGTAAAACCTGACTTTACTAACACCTGACTTTAAGGACATCCTGTTATGTAAAGTAAAACCTGACTTTACTGACAACAGACTTTATGGACATCCTGTAATATACAGTAAAACCTGACTTTACCAACACCTGACTTTAAGGACATCCTGTAATATCAAGTAAAACTTGCCTTTACTAACACCTGACTTTAAGGACATCCTGTTATATCAAGTAAAACCTGACTTTACTGACAACAGACTTTATGGACATACTGTAATATAAAGTAAAATTTGACTTGACTGACACCTGACTTTGAGGACATCCTGTAATATACAGTAAACCAGACTTTACTGACACCTGACTTTAAGGACAACCTGTAATTTACAGTAAAACCTGACTTTACTGACAACAGACTTTATGGACATACTGTAATATAAAGTAAAATTTGACTTGACTGACAACAGACTTTATGGACAGCCTGTAATATAAAGTAAAATTTGACTTGACTGACACCTGACTATAAGGACATCCTGTAATATAAAGTAAAACCTGACTTAACTGACACCTGACTTTAAGGACATCCTGTAATATCAAGTAAAACCTGACTTTACTAACACCTGACTATAAGGACATCCTGTTATGTAAAGTAAAACCTGACTTTACTGACAACTGACTTTATGGACATCCTGTAATATAAAGTAAAATTTGACTTGACTGACAACAGACTTTATGGACAGCCTGTAATATAAAGTAAAATTTGACTTGACTGACAACAGACTTTATGGACAGCCTGTAATATAAAGTAAAATTTGACTTGACTGACACCTGACTATAAGGACATCCTGTAATATAAAGTAAAACCTGACTTAACTGACACCTGACTTTAAGGACATCCTGTAATATCAAGTAAAACTTGCCTTTACTAACACCTGACTTTAAGGACATCCTGTTATATCAAGTAACACCTGACTTTACTGACAACAGACTTTATGGACATCCTGTAATATACAGAAAAACCAGACTTTACTAACACCTGACTTTAAGGACATCCTGTTATATCAAGTAACACCTGACTTTACTGACAACAGACTTTATGGACATCCTGTAATATACAGAAAAACCAGACTTTACTAACACCTGACTTTAAGGACATCCTGTTATATCAAGTAACACCTGACTTTACTGACAACAGACTTTATGGACATCCTGTAATATACAGTAAAACCTGACTTTACCAACCCCTGACTTTAAGGACATCCTGTAATATCAAGTAAAACTTGCCTTTACTAACACCTGACTTTAAGGACATCCTGTTATATCAAGTAACACCTGACTTTACTGACAACAGACTTTATGGACATCCTGTAATCTAAAGTAAAATTTGACATGACTGACACCTGACTTTAAGGACATCCTGTAATATAAAGTAAAACCTGACTTAACTGACACCAGACTTTAAGGACATCCTGTAATATACAGTAAAACCTGACTTTACCAACCCCTGACTTTAAGGACATCCTGTAATATCAAGTAAAACTTGCCTTTACTAACACCTGACTTTAAGGACATCCTGTTATATCAAGTAACACCTGACTTTACTGACAACAGACTTTATGGACATCCTGTAATATACAGTAAAACCTGACTTTACTAACACCTGCCTTTAAGGACATCCTGTAATATACAGTAAAACCTGACTTTACCAACCCCTGACTTTAAGGACATCCTGTAATATCAAGTAAAACTTGCCTTTACTAACACCTGACTTTAAGGACATCCTGTTATATCAAGTAAAACCTGACTTTACTGACAACAGACTTTATGGACATCCTGTAATATACAGAAAAACCAGACTTTACTAACACCTGACTTTAAGGACATCCTGTTATATCAAGTAAAACCTGACTTTACTGACAACAGACTTTATGGACATCCTGTAATATACAGTAAAACCTGACTTTACCAACACCTGACTTTAAGGACATCCTGTAATATCAAGTAAAACTTGACTTTACTAACACCTGACTTTAAGGACATCCTGTTATATCAAGTAACACCTGACTTTACTGACAACAGACTTTATGGACATCCTGTAATATACAGTAAAACCTGACTTTACTAACACCTGACTTTAAGGACATCCTGTAATATCAAGTAAAACTTGCCTTTACTAACACCTGACTTTAAGGACATCCTGTTATATCAAGTAACACCTGACTTTACTGACAACAGACTTTATGGACATCCTGTAATATAAAGTAAAATTTGACATGACTGACACCTGACTTTAAGGACATCCTGTAATTTACAGTAAAACCTGACCTTACTGACACCTGACTTTGAGGACAACCTGTAATATACAGTAAACCAGACTTTACTGACACCTGACTTTAAGGACATCCTGTAATTTACAGTAAAACCTGACTTTACTGACAACAGACTTTGAGGACATCCTGTAATATATAGTAAAACCTGACCTTACTGACACCAGACTTTAAGGACATCCTGTTATATAAAGTAAAACCTGACTTTACTGACAACAGACTTTATGGACATCCTGTAATATACAGTCAACCTGACTTTACTGACACCTGACTTTAAGGACAACCTGTATTGTACAATAAAAAGTGGGTAAAGCATGCATTTTTTAAGCTTAAGCCATACCGTGGCATCTGTTGTTGGTCCGTCAGCAAATTCTTCAAACTATCCTTTTGTCAAAACCGCTGATTGGAATTCAACCAAATTTGATTGGAAGTATCCCTAGGTGAGATGGATTCAAAATTGAACAAATAGAGAGGCTGACATTTCAGGGGCTGAGGCACAGGGCCAAAAGGGACTAATCAGGCATCCATCTTGGATTTTGACAGTAAATGTTGTAATAATTGTGCATGTATTTTTTTGAGATTTGATGAAAAAGATACAAGATGGCCACAGACGGTCATCTTGGATTTCGACACTTCAAGAATATTATCACTATCTCCCAGGAAGCACTTTACAGATCTTTGTCAGATTGCAATGATCGGTTCTATCGCGTTCATATTAAGTACTGTACAAGTAAATATGTGAAACAACAAACTCACTTTGAAGGTTGTCTTTAATACACAGCAGTGTGAGGTTTAGGTCAAAAGTTACCTCAATGGGCATTTACTGTTACATGACTCGATCAAACAGACAAGAGAAAAGAAGAGAAAAGATCGAACTGACAGCTGTGAATCAATGAAGATATGGTACAATGGTGGGATCCCTCTGGATCTCTTGTTATTTACCTCATAACTCCCAGTTTAAAAGGATGATGAATAAATATGTATGAATTCTGATTTAAGAATTTTCAGGTTTGATTTAACTCTTCAAAGGCTCATACCTATGATCATGCATTACAGACTATGCTTATCATGCAAGCAAATTATTTCTTTTTTATTTAAGCAAAATTTAATTGTTTTCTTACATTGGTAGAGTTTGTTGTAGAATGAAGTATATAAAATGATAGCTGATGAGTTTTGAATTCCGAAAGTAATCACAGATATGTATTTTCTGTTTATGTACTTGTAGTTTTAAGCTTAATTATATGTACAGATTACTGAGGTAATAATTCCTATTTATCTCTTTTAGAATTTCTTGGCTTTGTGTGCAAGTGACTTTTATAAAGGCTGTATATTCCATCGAAACATCAAAGGGTTCATGGTGCAAACAGGAGACCCAACAGGTAACAACACGAATGGGCATATATATTCTGGGTGCCTCAGAGGCTGTGATCACTAACGTGCACAGTCATTACTACTGTGTGCAATCAAGCACAAGCTTCAAGCTACTCCCAAAAATTTCGGTTCGATCCCCAGCGGTGGAGGAAAAAGAGATGGCACGGTGGTTTTCCCCCCGTGGACTTTCCTCCGCCTGAAAACAGCTTTTGTTCCCTTAGCCGCGTCGTAATAAAAGCTCTATAGAGCTTATGTTTGTTGTTGAAAAATTACATGATGTTAAATAAAGATTATTTCTTTCTTTCTTTAATATTTATTTGCTAATACATTGAAAATTATTACAATTTTATGCAAGTCCCCATGCCACTCCGTGCTAAAGATAAGTGACACCAAGCCAGGACAGGATGTGGAGCTAGTTCAATGTTGTATTTGCAAACCTGTGTAATGAATCAACAGAAGCTATTTGGACTGGACTTGTACTGTACTACAGTATTTTCAAGCTCTGTAGTGTTCAATCATGGGAGCCAGTGTGAGAGATTTCACATTTCAAAATTCATGGGCTTCTCTAGATTTTATACACAATGTATATCTGCTCTGCACCTTAAGATTTTCTTATGACAGAATCAAAGGCTCACAGTGGTAGTTATTTGATAAGTTCCAGACATCAAACGCTAACTAAATGCAAGGCTGATAGTACCTTATCTGGAGATTCCTCTGGCACTGACACCAGACTTAGACATTTTGACAGATAGATGTCCCACACCAGACATCCATCTGTCAAAATGTCTAGGTCTGATGGTGTCAGGGCCAGGGCAAACTCTGGCTATAATAGTACTTGTACTTAGAAGATTACAAAAGAGCTACTCTGAGATCAAAACTGATCAATTTTACCATTACCCCAGTTCATGATTCACTTTTAACTTAAATCGAAGTACTACTCTGTGACCACAGGTATACAGGATTCTCTATAACAGTTTCCAGACAAGTCGACTCATATCATCTGCAAGGCATCCTCAATATCCAGGGGTTACGCTCACTTTCGCTCTCTACACCCCTGGAATATGTCATAGCGAAATTGAAGGCTCGGTGTGCGCCACACTGTTGATGAGGCAAGAAGACTAGTTCGATCCTTTGATATATATACATCAAAAGAATCTCACGGTCACGTAACGGTAAAAATTGACAGGCTTTGAAGTCGGGCGTCTCTCCTTTGTAATCTTCAAAGGACAGGTATCAGACTAGCGATTGGTCAGGTTTTTTTTTTACCATAGACCAATTAAACAGCTATCTTCGTTCCTTCAATTTTGCTATGACATATATATATATTAACAGGGGTGTAGAGAGCACAGGAATCGAGGGCTTAATCCTAGGATTTTGAAGTTGGCGACATGTCTGTTGCTTTAAAAATTTGGAAATAACTTGTGCTATTATACAGTGTATTTATATTGTATTATTATTTTGTCTGTCCAGGGACAGGGAAAGGTGGTACCAGTATCTGGGAACGGAAGTTTGAAGATGAGTTTCGTGACAACCTTAAGGTGAGACTGGTATACAGTATATACACCATTGTAAATGTATGTATGAACTCTCAAACATGAAATTCAACAATCTCATTTGCATATCGAACAGCTTGTTACATACAGAGACATGTCATATCGTCTATAGACGGCAAGGCAGAAAATAATAAAAGTGATGGAGAACCAACACAATTATAAGCGAAGGAGTCCAACGTCCTGTAGGTGATGGTTGGAAGATGTCTCAGTGGAGGAATCGGAGATGGATAAAGACAGCAATGAAATTATTTCAAGTTAATGTGTTTGTTGATTGAATAGAATTAAGCATTGTCTGTGGTACATTGTGGTACAAAATGTAACTCAGGTTTGATTGAAAAAAAAATGTTGTGGAAATATCAAATTCAGGCCCTATCAGCCTTGTTTATTATTTTTATCGTCATTTTCTCACCTTTTTTTATATTTCACAATAAATCATGTTCCACGGTCATTTGTTATTTCATTGTGAAATGATCTGAAAAGTTATATGAAGTAATGTATATTTAATTAGATTGCCCTATAGTGGTATTGAACCCAGATAATTTAAATGATGAATAATTCTTTTGAAGCATAATGTTCGGGGTGTTGTATCCATGGCTAACAATGGTCCAGATTCCAACGGATCACAGTTCTTCATCACATACGCAAAACAGCCCCATCTGGATGCCAAGTACACCATATTTGGAAAGTAAGTCAAGCTTTGATTGCTCAGAAACCTGAAGTTTTCAACAGAAATCTAAAATTGGTTCTTCCAATGGCAATGATCAATTAATTTGAATTAATGCCACTTTTTTTTATGAAGGAATGAAAGCAGGGTGTCTTTATTGTGAAATACATATATGTAGAACCTAGTGTTATGAATTACCCTTGTGGCATATCCAAGGGTGCATACCCAAACATAGCTCATACATGTATACCTGTTATAGATATTTATGAAAACACCATTTATATTGGTTTATTAGTCCCCAAAAGGTCCCATGGGGGGGAGAGATTTAGGTTTGCACTCCATCCATCTGTCGAAAGAGTTTGTCTGGGGCATATCTTCTTTACTATTTCATCTTGAGTAACCAGATTTGGTTTGCTAGTACACCTTTTAGAGTTTAAAAAGAAGGTCACTGTGACAAATGGTTTGACCTTTGACCTCAATCTTTGAAACAGTTTTTCCAGGGCATATTTTCTTTATATATATATATATATATATGCTTTTTCACCTGGAGTAACCAGATTTCGTATGCATGTATATCTTGGTTGGCAGAGTGCAAGAAGTATGTCATTATATCATGAGATAGGTGTACAGCTCAGTAAATAAAGAAACCATTACTGTCCAGGGACTATGGAGTGCCTTGCAGTACTTCGCCTTGTTTAACAATGTTTTAAAGGGAAAAACAATATATTATTAATCAGAAATAGTAGTTTATGCTATTAAAATGCTATACCTGTTTGAATACTTAGTTAAATATGGTGGCTTGTTGTTTGTCCTTTATATATGAAGGAAAATAGTTTGCAAACTTTTGCATGGAACACATTCTAGTTATGCTAATTTTTTAAATGGTTCACTTCTTTTCATTTGCAGCCAATGCAAGCAAAAACATTTAAACATTTATTCCTGAAGTGAACACAGATAAATCATTAGCTGTTTCTTTAATTACTTCATAAATATTCATGTGAACTTTCACTTCAGGGTCATAGATGGGTTCGACACATTGGACGAGTTGGAAAAAATGCCAGTGAAGGAAAAGAACTTCCGTCCCCTGTCCGACACGCGAATACAAGACATTACAATACATGCCAATCCTCTAGCAAGCTGACGTAACTGTAGTATCATTGGAACCAGGTTTCATAAGGCAGCATAGTATCTTCACCAGGGACTTTCTGTAGAAGTTAAGCCATCATCGGAATGGGCTACAGGACAAAGCTCTCTCAATTTGCCGATGTTTCATTGTTACAAGAACGTATGTGGATTGGAAAGCTTTTCGTCAACACATTCCTACAATGAACTAGATTTAACTGATAGATAAATTGAGATAAAGCACATGAATTGCTTGATGACAAGACAAATCAATAAAGAAGGATTGTTAATTTCAGGTAACCCTTTCATCCCTACATTACTTCAGTAGACTCTACCATGTATTCATATGGATGAATCCAATATGGTCTATAATGATAAAAGGGTTAAACATCATCTGTATGACTAGAGGACTTGTAGCAGGAAGGTTTTGTCTGGGAAGCAGATCTGCAGATCTGTCTGGGATCATTGATAAAGAGGATTGTAATTTAGTGTATATGGATCGAGTTTAAGGATCCCTGTCCCACTGCACTGACATGTTCTCCTATATACAGTAACCTTAACTTCCGGTTGGATATAACTGTAGCACATTTGGGCATGTACGCTTCCGTTGTCCAGGGGTACATTCGCGTATCCGGTTGAAACAGTTGAAATGGTTGAACCTGTAAAGAAAACATCAGGCACAGATCTGGACCGAGGCTGACCTTAGGAATATTTGGCATGTGTAGATTGAGAAGTCCAGACATACCTGACCGAAACTAAAATGCTGACTATTGCTAGTTTGCGTTATTTCTTTTTAAAACGATGTCAAGCCACATGTAGTTTTTAAGATACGTTATGTAATTCAGTAGACGCGTGAGAGAAGGGCATACTATTCTTGATACATTGTTTTTTATTCTCCAAAACTGTGCATTTTTAGCTCTGCTTATAGAACGGTCCAAGTGCGTTCGTTTATCGTGGAGTATTTCTGCCACACGTACAGTTTGAACTGGGATACGCGAATGTAGCCCAGGTAGCTCAATCAGTTTCATCAATGGTATAACAAGTCCAGGGTTTAAATCCCAGTCTTGCCACGCAGAATATTTTACTCTCAGAACATATCTAGATCTGTTGATTATATTTTGTTTAATTCATCTCAAAATATTTCGATATATGTAGAGTCATGCCGGAAGAACAAGTTTTGAATGCAAACTTTCATTTTTTGGCAGTGGTAATGGGATCCTTAATACAGATTACATTTTTTTCCACTTAAATACAAAGTTTCTTAAAAAATGAAATACACGACATTTTCTCTTAAGTTACCCAAGTCGGCGGCAACATTGTTTGACCTGCCATTGCTTACGTATACATGTATATTCTGTCAAATGGGTGACCTGCATGTGTGTTTGTACAAGGATCGTGGTTCAGGGCCATGTTGGCGGCAGATTGTGTTCATGTTTTAAACAGAACTCACAGTTATCTGATACTGTATACCATGGAACTTTTGCTGCAGTTTCAGTTTTGTCCTCCATTTGGAGATTGAATTCAAAATTATTGCAAAAATTTAGGATGAATATGGATTTTATCAATGAAATATGAATATTATAATTGGCAAAAATTCCATGTATACAGACTTGTGGTAATCTCTGAAATTTTCAATTCAGTCTAAAGCTAGCTTTTATAATATTTCTTTTTTTGGTTGTTAACTGACTTTAAGAGAATTAAGAATGTGGTTTCAGATGAAAATGAATATTAAAAACCTTAACAATATTTCAGACTTTTGTTGTTAATTATGTAAGCGTTAAGTGAAACAAGCCTTAAGAATTTTTCATTTAAGCAAGCCACAGTGGCAAATTCGAGATGAGCTTTACTTTTGTATTTTTTTTATTGTGAGGCCTTATTTGGAAGTGACGTCATGATGTCACTAGGTCATACATGTATTATCCACGTTCGTACACAAAATATGTGACGTGTGTATTCAACGAAAAACACAGCAATTATGCATGCAATGAAATTCAGACATTCAAAACAACATTTTTAAAATTTTAGTGATTAATTACTTTTATTTAGAATCAAAACAAGAAAACAGTAAAATAAACAATTGCACTATGAAAATCAGCTAACATAATTAGTAATAATGAGTTATAATGGATGGTACCAAAAAATTCATATACAGCAAATTTAAAAATTAATCAACACAACATGCATATATTGTTGCGCAATATGTAATTATGAGAATTAAAAAAAATGTTCTGGAAAAAATATTTTGAAATATTTTGGCCCTTCATTCTTTTATTTTTTCAACATTTTTTTAAATCTCAAGTTATAAACTCCACGATAATATACAAACACATGTTGATTATATCTATTCTACCAAGTCAAATGTAACAAAGGGCATTTTGACCAACCAATAAGATACGGCATGACCAAGATAATCAAAATTTTAAAGTCTGAGTTGCCTCGTAATATTTATCCATTAGACAGGGCAAGCTGTATGTGTGCATGATGTCGTTGTAAAACCTTCAGACCATATATTAATCATACAGGGTTATTTTAGAACAGCAGTGTGTGTTTATGTGTTATCGAGGCATATACATTATTTGTTAATTCTCCAATAATCCATCACTGTTGATGCATGAATGAAAATGTTTTAACAACGCCGACTTGGTAGAATAGTTTTTTAAATTTCCCTTGATTATAAAAAATTGGTTATGTGTAGTACAAGCTTGACATGATACACTATCATGTGACCTTTTTAGCCAATCAGATCCATGTAACATTATTACATTGTTTTTTTCCTGTTTACAAACATTCTCTGGCACCATCTTCAATAAATCCACTTTCAGTGCAGAGTTTATTTTGTAAGCTTTGTTTTTGTTTTTTAAACAATCTTTCCCATTGTTGCACTCAGATGGGCAACAATGAAATCAATAAAGTGAAACGTGGGTTTCAACAACATCAACGTGGACTGATTAATTGTATAAGACTGTTGCTAAGACAGTTTTAAATACAAATAAACAGTTATTTTTTTGCAGGATTTTTTTGGAGGGGGGTTGAGGCTTCAAATCATGTCCGATATTACAGAATCTGTAATGTAACATGTGATGCTACAATGATATACAACCAGTATCTTATTTAAAGATAGAATTTGGAAATTTCTTTGAGCCTCAAGCAACATATAATTAAAGATAAACATTACATATATTTTACAACATGACTTAAAAGTGAGGTGTGGGTAAAGTCAGGTGTCAGTGAAGTCAGGTGTCGGTGAAGTCAGGTTAGTAAGTCAGGTGTCTGTGAAGTTGTATGTCCCTGAGGTCAGGTGTGGGTAAAGTCAGGTGTCTGTGAAGTTGTATGTCCCAGAGGTCGGGTGTCTGTAAAGTCAGGTGTCTGTGAAGTTGTATGTCCCTGAGGTCGGGTGTCGGTAAAGTCAGGTGTCTGTGAAGTTGTATGTCCCAGAGGTCGGGTGTCTGTAAAGTCAGGTGTCTGTAAAGTCAGGTGTGGGTAAAGTCTGGTGTCTATGAAGTTGTATGTCCCTGAGGTCGGGTGTGGGTAAAGTCAGGTGTCTGTGAAGTTGTATGTCCCTGAGGTCGGTTGTCGGTAAAGTCAGGTGTCTGTGAAGTTGTATGTTCCTGAGGTCGGGTGTCTGTAAAGTCAGGTGTCTGTGAAGTTGTATGTCTCTGAGGTCGGGTGTCTGTAAAGTCAGGTGTGGGTAAAGTCAGGTGTCTGTAAAGTCAGGTAAAGTCAGGTGTCTGTGAAGTTGTATGTCCCTGAGGTCGGGTGTCGGTTAAGTCACATGTCTGTGAAGTTGTATGTCCTTGAAGTCAGGTTTCGGTAAAGTCAGGTGTCTATGAAGTTGTATGTCCCTGAGGTCGGGTGTCTGTAAAGTCAGGTGTCTGTAAAGTCAGGTGTGGGTAAAGTCTGGTGTCTATGAAGTTGTATGTCCCTGAGGACGGGTGTTTGTAAAGTCAGGTGTCTGTGAAGTTGTATGTTCTTGAGGTCGGGTGTCGGTTAAGTCACATGTCTGTGAAGTTGTATGTCCTTGAAGTCAGGTGTCGGTAAAGTCAGGTGTCTGTGAAGTTGTATGTCCCTGAGGTCGGTTGTCGGTAAAGTCAGGTGTCTGTGAAGTTGTATGTTCCTGAGGTCGGGTGTCTGTAAAGTCAGGTGTCTGTGAAGTTGTATGTCTCTGAGGTCGGGTGTCTGTAAAGTCAGGTGTGGGTAAAGTCAGGTGTCTGTAAAGTCCGGTAAAGTCAGGTGTCTGTGAAGTTGTATGTCCCTGAGGTCGGGTGTCGGTAAAGTCAGGTGTCTGTGAAGTTGTATGTCCCTGAGGTCGGGTGTCGGTAAAGTCAGGTGTCTGTGAAGTTGTATGTCCCTGAGGTCGGGTGTCGGTAAAGTCAGGTGTCTGTGAAGTTGTATGTCCCTGAGGTCGGGTGTCGGTAAAGTCAGGTGTCTGTGAAGTTGTATGTCCCTGAGGTCGGGTGTCGGTAAAGTCAGGTGTCTGTGAAGTTGTATGTCCCTGAGGTCGGGTGTCGGTAAAGTCAGGTGTCTGTGAAGTTGTATGTCCCTGAGGTCGGGTGTCGGTAAAGTCAGGTGTCTGTGAAGTTGTATGTCCCTGAGGTCGGGTGTCGGTAAAGTCAGGTGTCTGTGAAGTTGTATGTCCCTGAGGTCGGGTGTCGGTAAAGTCAGGTGTCTGTGAAGTTGTATGTCCCTGAGGTCGGGTGTCGGTAAAGTCAGGTGTCTGTGAAGTTGTATGTTCCTGAGGTCGGGTGTCGGTTAAGTCACATGTCTGTGAAGTTGTATGTCCCTGAGGTCGGGTGTCGGTAAAGTCAGGTGTCTATGAAGTTTTATGTTCCTGAGGTCGGGTGTCGGTAAAGTTGTACTCGTGAGGTCGGGTGTCGGTTAAGTCATGTGTCTGTGAAGTTGTATGTCCCTGAGGTCGGGTGTTGGTAAAAGTCAGGTGTCTGTGAAGTTGTATGTCCCTGAGGTCGGGTGTCGGTAAAGTCAGGTGTCTGTGAAGTTGTATGTCCCTGAGGTCAGGTGTCGGTAAAGTCAGGTGATACTGTATTCAAAAAGTTGAAATAAATTGGTCATCTTTTATCAAATGTTGCTAGGTATATATGATGGGCAGGTATCATAATAACATGAACAAATTAATGAATAATGCTATGAATTAATGAACCTTACAACATGATGGCCCTATGAAGTATCCACTTCGAATCCAAAGTTATAAAGGAGCATCATTCTTACATTTGTGTACAGTTAAATGTATGTACCATTATTTATCCTAAAATAAGCCAAGATGGCAAACACATAATTTCTGCCCCAAAGAAGGGGCTCAGCTTTTTACATATCAGTGAAATAGTTGGCATATATTCCCAACTAGATAAGGGTGGGCCTATTACCAGGCATGGGCTGATTGCTGGATAAATACATCATCTAAATAAGAAATTCAATTCATTTAAATTCAATTTCAATATCTCAAATAAGAATAGAAAACAGAAATTGTGACCATTGTTGGTCATGTGACAGGTGTCGGAGAACATATCATTCATCACTCAAGAAAGACAACAGAAGGGTGTTGAAAGCTTGTGCTTTTTGCTCCGATACTGACAAGTCACATTACCGCCAATAATTATCTTAACAAAAACCATTGATTTTGATGGGGTTTGGTATATAGAGATTTGGCTGGTTTTACAGTGATCAACAGCTCCTGGATTTGTCAGCCTTGCCCAAATAAATGAAGTGCATTGTGACACTAATGTGCTCTATTGATATTAACACGCACACCCCCACCCCCCCAAAAAATACTGTAAACATACATATTTTAGCGGTAGTCTTGTTTTGTGCTTTTTGCTCTCTCACTATGGCCCTAAATTATCAATGCGCCAATTGAACTTCATGTATAATGTTCTCTATTGTATACTTTGTGGGTGCGACAATTCATCAATGCGCTAATCTATGAAAATTTGATAATATATTAAAATTAGAGCGTGCTTAAATAAGTACGTTTACACTATTTTAAACAGTTATAAACATGTGAATTATTCTAGAGTCAGTACTTCAAGACAACCTCAGATCACATAAAAAACATCAACTATAAATAAGTTTCCACATAAACACCCCTTTTATTTAAAGACCCAGAGGGAAAGGTCGGACTGAATTGCCGTAGTTTATTATGTTATTTATTGCTGTTTGCTCTTGCAATCCTTCTACGGTTAGTTTGATATGTTGCACAAGTAAACAGGAACACAAAAACTCTCAAATCTTTCTTTTAAATAGCATCACTTAATCTAACACATCTCTAGTTTTCTATGATATGAAAACCAGTTTCAACAGTTCGAGACAAAACTTCTCAAATAATTTCCAAAAGAACCACATAGCATCACTTAATCTAACACATATCTAGCTTCCTACAGTATAAAAGTCAGTTTCAACAGTTTGAGACCCTACAGTGTCCTGTTTCGTGTGGAGAAAGTAGAATACTTAATTTAAGTCTGAAATCATGAAGTTTTCAACAAGCACACTTATCTACATTTACTTATGCAGGTTTGAGTTTTCAATACTGTTTTGTATGAAAAAGACATATCCCAGCGCTCTGTTGAATTCAATACTGCTTTGTATAAAAAAGACATATCCCAGCGCTCTGTTGAATTCAATACTGCTTTGTATGAAAAAGCCATATCCCAGCGCTCTGTTGAATTCAATACTGCTACATTTACTTATGCAGGTTTGAGTTTTCAATACTCTTTTGTATGAAAAAGACATATCCCAGCTCTCTGTTGAATTCAATACTGCTTTGTATGAAAAATCCATATCCCAGCGCTCTGTTGAATTCAAAACTGCTTTGTATGAAAAAGACATATCCTAGCGCTCTGTTGAATTCAATACTGCTTTGTATGAAAAAGCCATATCCCAGCGCTCTGTTGAACTCAATACTGCTTTGTATGAAAAAGACATATCCTAGCGCTCTGTTGAATTCAATACTGCTTTGAATGAAAAAGACATATCCCAGTGCTCTGTTGAATTTAATACTGCTTTGTATGAAAAAGACATATCCTAGCGCTCTGTTGAATTCAATACTGCTTTGAATGAAAAAGACATATCCCAGTGCTCTGTTGAATTTAATACTGCTTTGTATGAAAAAGACATACCCCAGCGCTCTGTTGAATTCAATACTGCTTTGAATGAAAAAGACATATCCCAGTGCTCTGTTGAATTTAATACTGCTTTGTATGAAAAAGACATATCCCAGCTCTCTGTTGAATTCAATACTGCTTTGTATGAAAAAGACATACCCCAGCGCTCTGTTGAATTCAATACTGTTTTGTATGCAAAAGACATATCCCAGCGCTCTGTTGAATTAAATACTGTTTTGTATGAAAAAGACATACCCCAGCGCTCTGTTGAATTCAATACTGCTTTGTATGAAAAATCCATATCCCAGCGCTCTGTTGAATTCAATTCTGCTTTGTTGGTATTTTACTGAAAACTGTCAAAAATCTAATAATGTGGACTTTTATAGCGTAAAAAAAATAGAGAAATTTACACATGTGAATCGCATATCTATATATAATGGACTGTTTCTGGTCTAGGAAGAGAAACTTGTCAAGGTAACCTGTTCAATATACAATTCAAAGTGCATAGTTCATAAAAATCAGGTTATGAATGATTAATGCTTCTACCATTGACAGTGGAAGGTTCACACAGGTTTACAAAACCTCAAAATCTGAGAGTAGCGACATCTGTATCTTGAGTAATGCTCTGCACATTGAGGATCTATCCCAGTGCTCTGTTGAATTCAATACTGCCTTGTATGAAAAAGCCATATCCCAGCGCTCTGTTGAATTCAATTCTGTTTTGTATGAAAAAGACATATCCCAGTGCTCTGTTGAATTCAATACTGCCTTGTATGAAAAAGCCATATCCCAGCGCTCTGTTGAATTCAAAACTGCTTTGTATGAAAAAGACATATCCCAGTCCTCTGTTGAATTCAATACTGTTTTGTATGCAAAAGACATATCCCAGCGCTCTGTTGAATTCAAAACTGCTTTGTATGAAAAAGACATATCCCAGTCCTCTGTTGAATTCAATACTGTTTTGTATGCAAAAGACATATCCCAGCGCTCTGTTGAATTCAATTCTGTTTTGTATGAAAAAGACATATCCCAGTGCTCTGTTGAATTCAATACTGCTTTGAATGAAAAAGACATATCCCAGTGCTCTGTTGAATTCAATACTGCTTTGTATGAAAAAGACATATCCCAGCGCTCTGTTGAATTAAATACTGTTTTGTATGAAAAAGACATATCCCAGTGCTCTGTTGAATTCAATACTGCTTTGTATAAAAAAGACATATCCCAGCGCTCTGTTGAATTCAATACTGCTTTGTTGGTATTTTACTGAAAACTGTCAAAAATCTAATAATGTGGACTTTTATAGCGTAAAAAAAATAGAAAAATTTACACATGTGAATCGCATATCTATATATAATGGACTGTTTCTGGTCTAGGAAGAGAAACTTGTCAAGGTAACCTGTTCAATATACAATTCAAAGTGCATAGTTCATAAAAATCAGGTTATGAATGATTAATGCTTCTACCATTGACAGTGGAAGGTTCACACAGGTTTACAAAACCTCAAAATCTGAGAGTAGCGACATCTGTATCTTGAGTAATGCTCTGCACATTGAGGATCAAACTAACTAACGGTTTAAAAAGACACATTTAAACTCTTCCAATTCAAAGGTTGGAATAGTTTATTATAAAATTTCAGGGGTGAATGAGTTAAAGAGTATAAACATGAAATGGAAGTGAAATGTGGACTATACCACAACAGAATCACATATTCAGCATGGCTAAAATTCAATATGGCACATTTTTCGTAAGACAAACACAAAAAAATTATTGGCTAACTCAAGGCTGTATATTATATATACGAGTTACCCTCAATAATATATTCCAAATAGTAAAAGCCTTCTTTTGATAACTAAAACTCAATGAATTTTGAGAATTTTTATGCAGCATGGTTGATATGGCACATTTTTGTAAAAAATAGGTCCTGGCAAAATCAAAGATGTATGTTATATATATACAGTATATAAAAGCTACTTTCAGAAATTAATCTCAAACAATAGAAACCCTCTTTAAATGACTAAAACTCATTGAATTTTGGGAATTTCATTCAGCATAGCTCAACATAACACATTTTTTTAAGACCACAAAAATGACTTCTGGCAGATTATAAGAAATTCATCTCAAATAGTAGAAACCTCCTCTTTCAACTCATTCACCCCTGGAATTTCATAATGAACTATTCCAGCCTTTGAATTGGAAGAGTTAAAATGTGTCTTCAAGGGGTGAATGAGTTAATAACTAAAACTTATTGAATTTTTTGGATTTTTTAACAAGTTCAAGTAAGTTAATTAAACTATCCAGATTGTGTTGTAAGGGTTCAATCAATTTACAAATTTGGGATGGATGTTTATTGCCCCGAGTTAGTTAAACTATGATAGTATATATTATGCATGTTCTGATATTCAGATAATTCTGATATGTTTGGCATGTCATTTACCAAATAATAGTAACTTTTATGTCTCAATAATCTGAATTGTCTGCTTTCTCTACTACCTTCAGAAACCAGCTAGAGCACACATTTTATACAAACGAATAAAGGAATCAATGAAAAAATACATAAAAAACATGTATGCTTTTTAACCTGGTATATTGCAAAATTAATTTCAAATTTCATGTGTATTGAGAGTAAAATTTTGTTTTCAAATTTTAAATTTTTGAAATAAAACAATCAATTAAAAAGTTATAAAAAGAATGAACTGCAGACCTATATCTGGTGCTGAATAATTAAGTATAGAGTATTACATACTATAATTTATATACAATTTATATCAAATGCTGACCACAATTAGATATATTTGGAAATTTTCNAACCCCCCACCCCAACCCCCCACCAACTTTAATGAGGGTGAATTTATCATGACAGCGAACATTCATTTTGTAAACAACATACTTATACATAGTAATTAGTTGAGTGAAAATGTTTTTGATCATCAAAGAATTAGAATTTGACTGGACGAAAACTTACATTAATTTTGCTGCACAACACTGCATGAATCAGAAAGACTGACACAAACATCAATAACTATATATAATGAGACAATAGCTTAACAAACAAGCATATTCTGTGTATAGGAACATCAACATTTATAATGTTGATTCTAGCTCCCATGTGTCCATAACTAATAACTATGACATTTAAAAAAAAATAAGTAGAAAAAAAAACTTAAGGTAATATAGAGAAAACAAATTATATCTTTTACATAACAGAAACAAGAATGTATATGTGTATTAAATAAATATATGTGAAGCAATTTATATATATACGAAATTAACCTCACAGTGCCAAAAATACAAAACTGCTACACAAAGAAAACATTTCATAATATACTACTGCTGTGTTCATGCAGTGATATATATGATGCAAAGGTTTTAATTTTCAATAATAACATTTCCCCGGTCTGAAAGTTGCACTGTTGAAATGTGTTGCCATTACTTCTATATATGGAGAATGACGGTTAGGACTATATATACATTTATATAATCCCTGAATTATTATCCAGGAAAACAATTCCAAAAAATCCAAAATTTAACCGACAAAAATAAAGCTCTAACTATATAGCACTATATCACCGGTACATACTGGTATTCAATAACTGTACACAAAAAAGCTACCACAAGACAGAACAAGCGTGTGTCCTTGACCTTGAGGTAAAGGTGCGAATTAGTACCATGTACATTACATTTAATCCAGCAACAGTTACTGGACCAATGACCTTCGTGACCTTGATCAGCCTTGAGATGGGAGTGTGAAACTAATGGTGATGGATACAAACATTTCATCAAAGTGTCTTCAGCCTTTCAAAATGTACGGCCTGAATATTTAAGGCACCAATCTGATGGACAGACATTTATAATAGTGAATATATACCTGTTGTCTCCCAAATCCAGTTTCAGCGGAAACATGAGTAAAGCATGCCCACCAATGCGATGCTGATGGAATACTCTCTTTTAGCAAGAGTCCCATAGGGCCTGGCTCTATTGCTCACCTGGTTCTTTAGCTGCTATCTCAACTAGATAAGACATTTAAATACTTCTGTTAACTTGAGATCAGTGTGACCATCCTGGATTTCTTATTGAGCCAAAATAATTCAAATAATAATAATTATTGTAGACAACGACAGGAACATCATTTAAAGATTGAGTCCCCTTGGCCCAGTAGCAGTTCTGACCAAGATTTGGTTGAAATTGGGTGAGCTGTTCAGGAGGAGTGGAGTGTTTTAAACAAAAAGTTGATGGAGAGACGAAGGAGACTGTACCATGCATAGGCCTATATATATGGCCCTTCAGGCCAGGTGAGCAAAAAAGGACAGATTGATAACATTCCCCTAATTGTGAACCTTGTATCACACTGTCATGTATATAATACAATGTTGCATATCTAAAGACTTTCTGGGAAAATGTACACACAAAAAATACAATATATCTATTAAATATAACCACATGATGTGATTCTAATGAACTCATTCACCCCTGAAATTTTATAATGGACTATTCAAACCTTGGAATTGGAAGAGTTCAAATGCGTCTTCAGGGGTGAATGAGTTAAGGGACTGTTTCCCCTTTCCATGGTTAGAATCAAAGTGCTGTTTCATCTTCTGACTCGCCCTGCATTGTCAATGGTTTGATGTGGGCTGCACAGGTTATCAGGTACCGAGGGAAACCATGCCCGATATTTTCTGAAATTCATAATGAATGTATCATAACATTTACTAGTCTAATGGTAGGCACTAATTCTAAAAACGTTCATGATTAATTAGACCAATTGCCATTTAAATCATTTACACCAAAGGTGACCTACATATTCCCTGGATATAATTAAGGACAAATTGAACATCTTTGTCTCTTGACCTACTTATCACGGCAAAAGTAGAATAAAATTTAACTGTAAGCCTGTGACTTACTTAATATAACACCCACCCCACATGTACACACAAACAAGGCACTCCGAAATCACCTACTTCCAGACAAACTTTGATATAAAACAAGAGGCCCAATGGGCCTGCATCGCTCACCTGGTATTAATCTCACACTTGTAATCTTAAAAGTGGACTAAAATATAGCTACAGGCAAAATATCAGTGTATCATTCATAAGAACCTATTAAAAGATTTAAACATATGACACCTGTGACCTTGAATGTCGAACAAGGACATTATAATATTAGGTTGAACAGAGTTTATAGTCTTCCAACCCAGCATGCTTCTGGGAAAATATCATTACCCAGGACCTTTTGGTTATACAGAACAAATCATTTAAAGATTTAAACATATATTGACCACTGTGACCTTGAATATGAGCGAAGGTCATTCACATGGTAGTCCTTCATCCAAGCATGTTAATGGCCAAATATCATCACCCTTGGCCTTTTGCGTATTAAGAAGAAGTCATTTAATGGTTTTAAACATATTTGACCCCTGTGACCTTAAAATATATATGTCAAGGTCATTCATTTGAACTTGGTAGTCCTTCATCCCAGCATGTTACTGGCATTATCCTAGGTTATTCAGAAGAAGTTGTTTAAAGGTTAAGAACATATTTGACCCTGTGATCTTGAAAAAAGATGAAGGTCATTCATTTGAACAAACTTTATAGCCCTTCATCCGAGCATGCTACTAGCCAAATATCGTCACCCTAGGCCTATGGTTTATTCAGAAGAAGTTGCTTAAATGTTTAAAACATATTTGACCCCTTTGACCTTGAAATGGGGTCAAGGTCATTTATTTGAACAAACGTGGTAGCCCTTCATCCCAGCATGTTACTGGCCAACTATCATCACCCTAGGCCTCTTGGTTATTCAGAAGAAATTGTTTAAATGTTTTTAACATATTTGACCTCTGTGACCTTGAATATAAGTCAAGGTCATTTATTTGAAAAATCCTGGCAGCCCTTCATCCCCGCATGTTACTCGCCAAATTTTATCACCCTAGGCCTCTTGGTTTTTCAGAAGTTGTCTAAATGTTTTTAACATATTGGACCCCTGTGACCTTGAATATAAGGCAAGGTCATTTATTTGAACAAACTTGGTAGCCCTTAATCCAAGCATGCTACTGGCCAAATATCATCATCCTAGGCCCCTTTGTTATTCAGAAGAAGTTGTTTCAAATGTTTTTAACATATTTGACACCTTTGACCTTGGATATAAGTCAAGGTCATTTATTTGAACAAACTTGGTAGCCCTTCATCCCAGCATAATACTGGCCAAATATCATCACCCTAGGCCTCTCGGTTATTCAAAAGAAGTTGTTTAAAGGATTTTAACATATTTGACCCCTGTGACCTTGAATATAAGGCAAGGTCATGTATTTGAACAAACTTGGTAGCCCTTCATCCAAGCATGTTACTGACCAAATATCATCATCCTAGGCCTCTTGGTTATTCAGAAGTAATTGTTTAAAGATTTAAACATATTTGACCCCTGTGACCTTGAAAATTGATGAAGGTCATTTATTGAACAAACTTGGTAGCCCTTCATCCAAGCATGCTTCTGGCCAAATATCATCACCCTCAGCCTTTTGGTTACTGAGAAGAAGTTGTTTAAAGTAAAAAGATGACGCCGGACGGACGACGGACGGCGGACGATGGATGGACGGGCCAGGTGAGCTAAAAATGAACAAAGAGCTATAACTCTACAGTGGGGCATACAACCTGATCTGTGTTATGTATATATATATGCAACAGGAGAAAGAGAAATGCAACGGCCAGACTGGGATTCGAACCCGGAACCCTCCGGCCTCAAGACGGATGTTCTACCAGTTGAGCTACCTGGTCAACGAAGATCGACCCAGTCCAGTTCCGCCACATCTACATTGTTCATCATACACCAGTGACTTCACTTGATAGAATTCATAGTACATAGTGGAACCGATACTAAAGTGTAGGCAATGTACTTTTGGGCAAATATCATACACAGGTAAGTACTAGTGTACTGTTATTAAACATCTACATAATAGGAGGGAGTTGAGTCAGCTTTAAAACATTAGTGTGTAAATGAGGTCGCTGTGGACATGTACATGTTAGCTATCAAACCACTGCAAACTTAAGATGGCTCATAGAAGCAGAAACAACATTGACATCAAGGTAAATCTTGTGTTGTACAGAAGGAATTCCAACAAGCAGATCTGTGTGCAGGTCAGTGACATCGGAATATGTTTGGTAACTCATTTTCTATTTTGAGTTAATGAAAACGTACGTTAAATTTATGTATCTAGATCTGTGTGGAGTTGTATTTTCATCAGGTAAGGATAAAGTTCTATGGCAGTGTGACCTATCCATGACGTCAGTGATATGTGCTAGATATTTTGCCGGTGTTAAGAATTGGCGGATCTAATTCAAAACGTGATTATAAGGAAAATAAAGTGCCCGCAAATTATAACGGTTACCACTATATACTAGTAGCACACATTGCTATCCCAAGAGTCACATACAAAATTTGGCAAGTGTAGATAAAAGAGCATATTATAAGATATGCCCACAGTTTTGTTAATCATTTTAGACCCAACCACACATATGTTAGCAATGATAATTGCCTCTCCCTCTCTCCTACTCCCACATATTTAAGGATTGACCATCATTTTGACTGCGTTTATGGTAGTATAAACGCAGTTGGCAACGAACAAAGAAGCGGGATGCTACAACGGTAACTATGGTAGCCATGGTTGCTAGGATAGGTAATCTAGTTCCAGTGAATCTATATGTATGCAGGAGACATGGTATGATGGTGAGCTTGCCTCCATGTGATAGCGCGGACCTGATGTCGACTTTATAGTGCTATCTGACTGATCTGAAATACCATGCCGAAGGCACCCAGCAAAGCATTCCGCCCGGTCACATTATACTGACAACGGGTGAACCAGTTGTTGCCATTCCTCTAAATGCTAAACGTTAAGCAGGGAATAACAACCAACATTTTTTGGGACTTTGGTATGTCCTGGCCTGGGGACAGAACCCATTGCGTTCCTCACCTGGGCGAACGCTCAACAATAAAGCTAAAAGTGAGTTGTTGCCAAGCAAAGCGCTAGGAAATAAAAGGTAGCTAGAAGTAGAAAGAAAGATAAAGATCCCAAATATTGCAATGGGTGTAGCAGATTAATTTTGGTCGCTTTTGTGTCCTAAAATAGAGGACACCAAAAGCAAATCCTCAATTCTGTAGGGTGTTCCCCCATTAGTTGCATCCTACGATACATGCAGTGGGTAACAGCAGGTGTATTCTTTTCCTGATCCCCCACCTGCAGGGGTGTCTCTTGTAGTGACGCGGTCAAACGTCGCAAAAAAGAAACTATAATCAGACATAATGGATCCCGAATATGTTTCATGTTTCTAGATGTTGAAGGAAACAAACAACGGCTGTCATCGAACAGTTATCTCCCTGAAGCGAGAACGACGCCATATTTGAAATGGGTATCAATCCGCCGAGCCTTTTTTCATTGCTTATACGCTAATTTATCCGCAGTCAGAGTTACTAATTTATGCGCAGTCAGAGTTTACTAAGCTGAAGAAGGGAGGGATGTAAATATATATTAATATCTGGAACAGCCCTAACAGAATACATTGCATATTACACAAATACATACCTAGTTTGCATTTTGAAATGGGATATCAAAAACTTCGAAATTCCCCCAAGAAGGATTCAGAAGGTCCATTGAGGCATCCAGGAGATTGATATCAATATCATCAAGGTTCGGGTAACCATGTTCTTGTTGGGTTTGCTGTGCGGTTCCTTCAGAAAAGTCTGTCGAAAATATCTCATGCTGCTCTGGTTCATAGAATTGCATTGGTACTTGACAATGCTGGCCAACTATAGGTTCGGTTATCACTGGCTCTACTGCTTGCTGGCTGTTGGTTCGCATTTGGTGGGGAACCAGGGCAGGTACACCAGTTATCTGAGTAGTGTTGGGTAAAGACAGGGGAGTCTGGTTGTGTGGTAGCTCCATCATGTTTGTCGTCGGCTGTACATTTTGCAGTGGTGACTTGGCTTCGATCTTCGTATCCACAAATCTTTGAGACTGAGGAGAGCCACTCTGTTTCAGACCGCCCTGAAACATTGGCAGTGTAGAAGCAGGTGAGCTGCATGGTTTGACCTTTGATTCAACTTGGGAGAATCCATCGTTGCCACCGGTGATGGTTTTCTGCTCTATGTGACTCATGTCCATCCTGTCCTTAGCATCACTCAAACCAATGTCCTGGTTGACCTCTACAACCCCTTGTGGATACAGTGCAGCATTAGGACTCTGTTTTAACTTGGATTTGAGTCCATCCTTCACCGGTCCAGATAAGATACTTTGAAGCTTTGGGTACATGTTTGCATGAGGGAGTGATTGACTTCTGGTGAAGGAAGATAACTGGTTAGTCAAATCATCTGAAACAGCAGGTGCAGACATCGTCCTACTTGAAGTAGCGCTTCCTTGGACTGGTAGTGAGATCAAAGTAGTGGAAGACTGCACATTTGGTTCCCTTTCATTTAACACTGTAGGTATGTTTCCAGATTGTTGCCCATACCCCATTTCCCCCAGTACACCATCTTGCATATGCCCTTGACATTGATTTGGGGCTGCTTTGCCTATGACCTTGGCCACCTTGCTGTCACTCCGATTCCCTGTCTGTCCTTTGACCCTATGCACTGGTCTCTTCTTTGGACGTACATCCGTTGTCAGCGTTCTGAAAGATATTTTTGAAGTGCATTAATTTATCAAATTATGAAATAAAATGTTTAAAATCTAACATGTTTACTGTCACTGAACTGAATTACAGATGACCAATATCATGGTTTATAGGGAATCTTTTTTAGCCGGAAGGAAAGCTCTATACTGAAATGGCCTGGAGAACCTTTGAAGCATTGGCACTATAGTTTGATAGTAAGCCCAGTGTGACAAAATCACCCTGGTTCACAGTGTTAGCCTATAAATTTACTTGTCTAACATGATCAGGTGTGAAAAAAGACTTATGTTAATTAACCCCCGTTTTGAGGCTCAAAACCCTCAAAAAATTGGTGACAGCCCTGACCAAGGATACCTGGAGACTTGCAGGCTTTAAAAGCTAAATCTTAGCCAAAATACCTGGAGACTTGCAACCTAAGCTAAACCTGGCCAAGGACACCTGGAGACTCACAGACTAAGCTAAATCTAGGACATGATACCTGGAGACCTGCAGACTAAGCTAAATCAGGACCAAGATACCTGGAGACCTGCAGACTACGCTAAATCTTGGCCAGGATACCTGGAGACTCGCAGACTAAGCTAAATCTGGCCCAGGATACCTGGAGGCCTGCAGACTACGCTTAATCTTAGCCAGGATACATGGAGACTTGCATACTAAGCTAAATGTGGGCCAAGATACCTGGAGACTTGCAGACTAAGCTAAACATGGGCCAGATACCTGGAGACTTGCAGACTAAGCTAAATGTGGGCCAAGATACCTGGGGACTCGCAGACTAAGCTAAATGTGGGCCAAAATACCTGGAGACTTGCAGACTAAGCTAAATCTGGGCCAAGATACCTGGAGACTTGCAGACTAAGCTAAATGTGGGCCAAGATACCTGGAGACTTGCAGACTAAGCTAAACATGGGCCAGATACCTGGAGACTTGCAGACTAAGCTAAATGTGGGCCAAGATACCTGGAGACTTGCAGACTAAGCTAAATGTGGGCCAGGATACCTGGAGACTTGCAGACTAAGCTAAATCCGGGCCAAGATACCATGGGTCATCTTAGACTCTCCCACAATTTTACCAAGAGGGTAAGAGCCTGAAGTTTGCTTACATTTGGCTCACTTCGACCAACATACATGTATCTTGACTGGCGGGATTATGGAGTGACAAGGTCAACCAAGTTGTGAAGATAAGTCAGTCAGTTATTAAAAGGACACCATGTGCACTGACCAGAAGGGTATAAATATCAAAATATGTGTACCCCACTGTATTTTAAGATTTGCGACGGTAGCAGCATCTATCCAAGTACTACAAGTACTATCCATGTAGAACTTGCAGTTACCCAGATATGGACTTAACAATTTTTGTTTATGTGACATATCATTGAATATTAAGGAGGTCACTGAAGTGTAAAATGAAGGTCAGCATTCGTAACATACATTCAGTAAAGCATCACTGAGCTTCATCATTGATACAAGTATAAACAAGAGGCCCACAGGGCCTGTATCGCTCACCTCCATATTTAAGCAGTCATAGCAATATATTCTCATTAAATATTATTCTATACTATAAAAATTTCAATTGCAAACTTTGTCGGCTTTCGATTATTCTGGAGTCGTTTGAATTGATTTTTTTGACATATTGACCCCAGTGACCTTAAAAGTAAGTCAAGGTCATTTTCATTCTCAAACTTTGTCGGGCTCCACCCAAAGTTTCCAGCCAAATAATAAGATTCTATAACTTTCAATTTTTCAGAAGAAGCTGTTTTAAGTGTTTGACATATTTGACTCCATTAACCTTAAAAGTAGATCCTGGTTACTTTCATAAGCATAATTTGCCAGGCTCTATAGCCCAGGAAGCTATCAACCTAGTATTATAATTCTATGCTTTGCCATTACTCAAAAGAGGTCATTTTAAATGTTTGACACATTTGACACCTGTGACCTTGATAGTACGTAGGTCATAGTGGTGTACTGATAATCGGAAACATCGATTAAATCGAGTTTGAAATGGGTCTGATCCAATAATCTATTTTGCTGATGAAAGATCGATTATGTTCAATTGTATTGTAATCCTTTCTAACTTGAAGCAGACGCAACATCTGCACCGACATTATAAATTTGGTGGTTAATATAAAAATGGAATTGTATATAGTAAAAAAGCGGAAATGCTTTTCATTGAATCACTTGTATTCGTTTCATATAAAACATACATCCGCATTTTGTATCAACCGAAACCGCCATATTTGAAAGCTAGTAAAATGAAGCTAGCAGAGTGTTTTTCGTGATAAATTATTATTAATATGCTATGTTATACTGATTGGAGCATTCAAATGGGAGTAATTAATACCTAAACTGTGAGTACACCTACATGTAGTTGTCATGAAGTTTTGAGTCAAAACGGAGATATAATTGAATCCTTCCTAACGCCTAGATTTCGGAAGCGAGTATTTTCTCATCAGTCGACACAATTACATCAGATAATAAATGGGTCGGTCTCTGATGTTACACAAGTAGGCCATTTAAACCAATAATCGATTATCGATCGATTATGGAGTTTCGATTATCGATCTTGAATATTTGACCGATTCCCAGCACTATAGTAGGTCAAGGTCATTTTCATTCACAAACTTAGTTGGGCTCTCTCCCAAGAAGCTACCAGCCACATATTAAGATTCTTTACTTTTCAGTTCTTCAGAAGAATTCGTTTTAAGTCTTGGACACTTTTAACCCCTGTGACATTGAAAGTAGGTCAACGTCATTTTCGTTATCAAAATTTGTTGGTCTCTTACAAACAAAACTTCCAGCCACATATTAAGATTCTATACCTTTCAGTGTTTCAGAAGAAATCGTTTTAAGTATTTGACACTTTTAACCCTGTGACATTGAGTGTAGGTCAAGGTCATTTTTGTTCTCAAACTTTGTTTGGCTCTTACCAACAAAACTACCAGCCACATATTAAGATTCTATACCTTTAAGATCTTCAGAAGATGTCGTTTTAAGCATTTGACACTTTTGACCCCTTGACCTTGAAAGTGGGTCAAGGTCATTTTTGTTCTCAAACTTTATTGTGCTTTTTCCAAATACGCTACCAGCCAAATATGAAGATTCTATACAATTCAGTCCTTCATAAGAAGTCGTTTTAAGTATTTGACACTTCTGACCCCTATGACCTTGAAAGTAGGTCAAGGTAATTTTCATCTCAAACTTGGTTGGGCTCTTACCAACAAAGCTACCATCCATATATCATGACTCTAGTCCTGTCCATTCTTCAGAAGAAGTCGTTCAAAGGAAAAGTTGACAGACGAGGATGGATGCTGATGGACGGACGACAGACGCTGCGCCATGGCATAAGCTCACTAGCCCTTCGGGCAGGTGAGCTAACAATGTAACAATGATAACAACAAATGGACTTAATGTGCACTGTGAATTCTAATTCCCCGCTAACTTTCATGAAAGAGGGATAAAAAAGTTGATGAATGGTCAAACCCATGACCTAGTGGTGGAGGGCTAGTGGTAGCAGAATGTCCACTTGGCCACCGCAGCCCCTTAAATGGACAGACAGATGAACAGAAGACACAATCACCATTCCATGATCATGAGCTCACAGACACTCATTGCCAGGTGAGCTAAAAATAGCTTGATGGTGCATTATCCACCCTCTACTCACCCAAAGCCTTCCGCCAGCTCCTCCACTGGGTCAATGACTAGCATTTCCCTTAGCTTTGTATAGCCGTCCTTGTGTTTTCGTGGTTCTGGGTCAACTGTACAAACAATGTAAAACACTAAGATTTCATTTAAAACAACAAAGTAAACCATTAGCATATCACTCAATTATCCCCAAAACTACCTACAGACAAAATTGTAGTATAGAACATATGTTATATGCATGTATGTTACACATGGTGAACAAAGGGCTTTCACTTTTTTTATCACATGACTCCTCTGTTATGAGTGAAATAACACCCATTACCTAAATCTTGTTATAAACAAACGTGTAATAACATGTTGTAGTACAGAAGTTATGGCTACTTTCACAATCAATGATATGGTCAGTAAAGACAACAGTGGGCTCGCGAAAAATATACCAGTTAAAGGACCTAACGACTACAGTGTAGATGGAGGGAGTTGATTTTGCGATTGATATGCCAGGAAACTGTCTGAACTGGTATCTGACGAGCCAATTATATGAACTAGGCCTAATGTTCCCGGGAATACCAACCAAATTATGCAGACAACGGGTCATACACATCAATGTGGTTCCAAAAGAGGACAACGTCAGTCATCTAAGAGCCATTAAACAAAGAAGACTAGTTTCAGACAGCGACGTGACTAGTCCGGCTCGGAAACATTTGTGACCTCAATTTTGTACTTGCGCACCCTATGACGCGACTTTCTGCTATGATGCACCGTCTGCTAGGCTGGCAAGGTCATATTATTTAGGTCGTCGTGTCAAAAACATTGTCGCACTTGCATTTCTTATAACAAACACATATTTTCTAGGTAAGTTTGCAAAGTTAAACAAAAGCTTCATACTACTGTCAAATTATGTACAGATTTGGGAACTATGTTTCATCACATTCTGTGGAAAGATATTCTTTTAGCCGTTATTCGGTTTCTATTGATAAAGAAGGAATTTAAAAAAAAGTAGTTTGAATTTACTGTTTGTCAATTTTTATATGTCATGTGATAAACAGAATCTCACATGAGTTTCCATTTGATATGAGATTTATGAAACTTGTTAAGAATGTTTTAATTTTGCTCTGCAGAAACTTGTTTCATAAATCTCAAATCCAATGGAAACTCATGTGAGATCCTTTATATATGGTGTGGATGATTACTCAATTTTAGTATGCAACACTCTGCCATGCCAAGAGGTGCTCACATACAAATGCAGTTACCGGTAATAGGAAATTTGAGACATGCCCTGAACAAAATTGTGTACAGTAAAAAAAAAAGGGCCATAACTCTGCATATAGCAGGGTACCAGACCAAATTCCAGTGCACAACTCATAGCTATCCCAAGAGGTACTCACATGCAAAATTTGGCAACTGTAGGTGGAGTATATTGAATAGCCGGGACAAACTCATGAACAGTGGTAAAAGGACCATAACTCTCTAAATCATGGGTTACGAGACCATATTTTGGTACAGACCAGTTTGCCATCATAAATAACTCGCATACACAACTTTTTCAGCCCATTACTCCAGCAAGGTATAGGCAAAATATCAGTATATTCTATACCTCATTGTTTGTCGAAATAAGCAACATTTAAACACCTTAAATACTGATGTGGGTGAAGGTCATTTATTAGATCAAATTTGACAGCTATATGCGATATTGGCTACGTGTCAAATATCATGACCCAAGGTCTTATGAGTCTGAAGAAGAAGCTATCAAATAAAGACAGACTACTGATGAAGGAATAACGAGCAGATGGCCAGGTGCTTCAGTGTGTCAATAGCAAACCTTGGTCGCATGGTCAAGTGAACCAATGTCTCGTTACTTACCATCCAGGAAATCCTTGTACTCCTCCTCTCTGGATTTCATTGATGGATAAACCCATTTCATCTCACACGTGCCGGTTTTACTATTTATCATCCTCTTCAGTGTCAGGGCCAGATTGTATTTCTTGAGATCCTCGGCATTAGAGGGAGTCATGTGGTCTACTGTTCCTCCAGCTGTCAGAAAGTGAAAATACAGTTGACCTACTTTTGTATATTTCCTACTACCCTTAAAATATTTGTCATTCTTTTGAATGATGTACTGTAAAATGATGTACTGTTAAATGATGTACTGTAAAATATCTATCACCCCTCAGACTGCCAATACACTGTACAACGTATTGATTACTTAAATCTGTCATAATGCATTCGCTTTCATTCCATAAGGTAAAAACAAAAGTTTAAAAAACCTTAACAAGCTTCAGCAAAGATTTCCTGGTAAGAGTGAAAGGATCAGCCAATCACAGGCCATTTTTGAGCTTCATCTAAACACAAATCAACAATATTTTAAAGATATGTTAATTGTACAAGTTTTTAAATGTGGCTTAATTTGAAGATGTAATTCTATCAAACTATGACAAAAATGTATAGAGGCCTGTCTATGACATGTGACACTGAAACAGCGAAGATGGCCCCAGACACTAGTTGTACGGAGGCCTGTCTGTAAGCCTGAGGTCTGACCCCTCAAGTTAGAAAACTAAAGGGAGTCAAGTCTGAGTGAGTTGCTACATTAAGATGTCCCTTTAAGATGAGCGGAGTCCCACCTAGCTGTGAGACAAGATCATGAGACAACCCTGTCAGCATCCTCGATACTCCAGTAGTTACACTCTATTTCGCTCTCTGCACCCCATCAAAAGAATCGCTTAGTTGTGTAACGGTAAAATTGACTTGACTGGCTTTAAAGTCGGGTGTCGCTCCTCTGTAATCTTCAAAGGACAGGTATCAGCCTAGCGATTGGTCAGGTCTTTTTACCTGACACCAGTCAAATGGCTAGTCGGGCGCCTTCAATTTTGCTATGACTTATTTCCAGAGGTGCAGAGAGTGAAAGTGAGCGTAACCCTTTGGGTATTGAGGATGCCCTGCCTCACACTAGATATAAAGTCAGTTAGTCCTCTTCGTGCTGGGGTGCACATAAGGCCATCACCATTTATGTCTGACTTGGGACCCACTGGTGGTCCCCATGTCCAGTCTTTTTCTTTTAGTTCTTTCTCAACAGACCATCTCCAGGTTTCCTTTGGTCTTCCCCTCTTTCTTTGTCCTTGTCGTGTCCATCTCATTGCTACCAAGTAGGGATGGAATCTGGGTACATTCAGGAAACATGTCCAATCCACCTCCATCTCCTTCGCTTGACTTCTTGTGAAAGAGGAATGGTGTTTGTCCTCTGACTGCAGGAAGGGCGTAAGAATTGTACCTGCTGCCCCCAATTGCATGATCGTATGAGGCGACTAAATCTGGAACCTTATCTCTTCTCTCCTTTCTAAATAACTTTCTTCTTCCTAATGTCTCCCTTGACAATGCCTCTCTTTTGGCCATTTGTTGAGCGTTCGCTACTGTGAGGAAGGCTTTGGGTTCTGTCCCCTGGCCAAGACATACCGAAGTCTTTAAAAATGGTAGTTTCTACTCCTGCTTAACGCTCAGCAAATTAGGAGTGGGACGACTGGTTGCCCGTTGTCAGTATAATGTGACCGGGTGGGGCGTCATGCTGGGTGTCTTCGGCAGTATGTTTCAGTGAGGTAGCACTATAAAGTCGGCATCAGTTCCGCGCTATCACAAGGAGACAAACACGAACATATCATATGCACGAAATTCTGCGAAGGTGCTGGTGCTGATCTTACTGAACTTGTGGATGTTCCTTAGTGATGCAAATGCTCCTCTGGCCTTAAAAAATGTGAGCTTGATATTAAGTGCTGTGTAATAATTATGGTGTGTATATATATATATGAAGGCCTACCTTTGAGATATGACACTGAGACAGCCCCACACATATTCTGGCCCTGGGCATCAGTTATGATGTTGTTGCTAAAGCGAAGCAGAAATGTGTTGGGTTTAAATCCCTCGAGACACCGTATCGCTTGGTCCTTGTCGAGGAAGCCAAGAATAAGTCTGTCAACAAATCAAAATGAGGTACAAAATGGATTAATAAAAAAAAAATACAGCAGGTATAACTTTACTAAATGTGGTTCAAATATTGTAAGATACCCAAGGTTCACGATCTCTACTAGAATTGGCCACCAAGAATTGATATATATATACAAGTGAAATATGATTTCATTTATTATAAAAAAAGCAAATTTCAACCCCAATTTTATTTCCTCCCTTTTGCACTCTTAGTTCACAAATAGAGGTATAATGAAAACATATAATCCTACAACTTTTTGATTGGATAACACAGGCTTTCAAAATCATGCATTACAACATTCAGAGGGGTCTTAAGGCCTATACATTGTCTAAAGCCTATAGTGATGACTGTTTCTCATTTTTATTTGGACAGTCACTATTACATGTACATACTAATTACGTATTGTCACTGTACCTCCAGGAAAAAGCAAAAGGACAAAAAAAGTAATTTCCCTTTAACCATCTAATCATCTTGCGAATCATAACAATAGATGGGAGAGCTTTGCAGGAGATTTTGCAGCATCTGTAGCATCTGGGGGAGGAAGAATGTGGTTGCAAGAGGTTTTTTTCTAAAATCTTCTATAGATACTATAGAAACTTTGTGTCTTTTCGTAATTTGAAAATCAATATTACTGTATAGTGGTTGTATTTTGCAGGGGTATTAATTTCGCTATATTCGCGTTTTGACTTATATCCGTGAATTCTAATTTCGCTATATTCGCGCTTTGACTTATATCCGTGAATTCTAATTTCGCTATATTCGTGCTTTGACTTATATCCGTGAATTCTGATTTCGTTATATTCGTGCTTTGACTTATATCCGTGAATTATATTTTCGCTATATTCGTGCTTTGACTTATATCCGTGAATTATATTTTCGCTATATTCGTGCTTTGACTTATATCCGTGAATTCTTAACACCAGAGAAATTATCAAAAATGTTAACCACTTTTACGGACCTCATAAAAACATGTTGAAAATACTTATAACCCAACGCTGTAATACAAGCTTAAATGAACTCAAATCAGGTTATCACCGGACAACTGGGTGATCCATGTAAAAACAACACTTACATATAAGTGGCCACAACATTTTTATGTGAACACAGTAGGTGATTAATTGACTCGGTTTACTCCTAGAAAGGTACATACTCATTTGATTTTCTTTCGAGTGAAGTTACTGGCGGATGACGACACTCAGAATTAGTGTTTTCAAACGGTTTACCTGTATTTCGAAGTTTAACCTTGAAATGATGACACTCAAAATACTTTGCACGACACATGGGTTTCGCGCGCACATCGAAATTTAACCCCTGCAAATATGTATTGAATACGAAACTGCAAAATATTGACCCTGCAAATTCAAAGTGCTATATACCGGTAGTACTTGATTGTGGAGGTGCACAAACGAACATCGTGAATAGTAGGTTCAGAGATGTTGAGGGTCTCGAAGATGATAGAACCATAGAAGTGGGCTAAAACATGTACACATTAAATTCAAAGTTGACAAACTGAGGTTGATGTTATCATGGTTATCTTTTTTGACTGATTTAATATATTTTGGGTTAGATAAACATGCTAATCAACTTGTTTGGGAACCTCTGTATATCGCTGCAGTCCCTTCGGCCTTCACTTACTCTCTTTTCCAGTACTCCTTGAGGTGAGTATTAATCAGGTTATAAACAGCCTGAAACCACATCCAGAATGTCGCCGACTTCTTACGATCATCTGTTTTCTTATTTGGATCGCTGATGTCCATCATTTTGTCCTGAAAACATTTTAATACACTGTTATTAAAAGGATAATCTGAACATTACACCAGTATTGACCTTTCATGGGGCGAGTACAGTACATTGCCTAAGAATAGACCTGCTGTATGAGTATCATAAAAGGCGACTAATGTTGCCCCTGCAGAATCAGGGGTTCTCTTCACTGTCTTCTATTAAAAGAACATGGAAGAGACCAAAACTGATCTGCTACCTCATTGCAAAACTTGGGATCTTTTTCATTTCCTATCTTTCCTGTCTACTTTCTTTCTTTCCTATCTACTTTCTTTCTTTCCTGTCTACTTTCTTTTACTTTCTTTCATTCTTGCCTACTTTCTATAACTTTCTTTCTTTCCTGTCTATTTTCTTTTACTTTCTTTCTTTCCTATCTACTTTCTTTCTTTCCTGTCTACTTTTTTTCTTTCCTATCTATTTCTTTTACTTTCTTTCTTTACTAACTACTTTCTTTCCTGTCTATTTTTCTTTCCTGTCTACTTTCTTTCTTCCTTGTCTACTTTCTTTCTTTCCTATTTACTTTCTTTCTTTCTTGTCTACTTTCTTTCTTTCCTGTCTACTTTTTTTCTTTCTTTCTTATCTACTTTCTTTCTTTCCTGTCTACTTTTTTCTTTTACTTTTTTCTTTCCTGTCTACTTTCTTTCTTTTATTGTCTACTTTCTTTCTTTCCTGTCTACTTTTTTTTTCTTTTTCTCTTGTCTACTTTCCTTCTTTTCTGTCTATTTTCTCTTACTTTCTTTCTCTCCTACCTAATTTCTTTCTTTCCTGTCTACTTTCTTTCTTGTCTACTTTCTTTCTTTCCTGTCTGTTTTCTTTTACTTTCTTTCTTTCCTATCTGCTTTGTTTTACTTTCTTTCTTTCCTGTCTGTTTTTCTAAACTATTAGAAATAATGAGTATAATAGCTACTACTTCTTGTCTTTATTGGCGAAATAGTACAAATCAGGCTGCGCAAGTACCTGCTTGGAGCCAAGACCTTGGAATAATGTTGAATTAGTTGGTACGTACCTCTGCTATGAATTCAACTGTTTATAAGCTTGTGTTCAGAAGTCAGTTGTGTGACTACCGTTGCATTAGCCTGTGTGTTTCTGTTAGGCATACAACTCCCTGTTTCATTTCTGTGATATTGATCCAGTGATTACTTATTAATATCATGTACAACATAAATACTGTCTTCCTATTTAGGAATGAAAAGTAAATACTTACGATGCAGAATTTGTTGAAGGGAATCACAGGGTCCTCTTCAATATTTGCCTGTGGATTACCTGAAATTATAAAATGACTTTCTAATAAAGCAAAATGTAACATGCTGAATGTAATGAATGCTATATTTTGTAAACTAAGCAGATGTTCATCCTTTTAATTTCCATCAAATAAATTTTGCACTTTTATCACAGGACAATATAGCCAAATAACTTCATTACACAAAGATGAAAATCAGGGCAAAGTGTTCAAGATATCTTACAAAGTTTATAAAATTATGTAATACTGGAGTTTGACTGTAGCTCAAGAGGAGATTTGGTTTATTTGTGTTTTACGTCAACAGCTATGCTCATTTTAGGAAGGAGGTGCCAGGTTTTGGTGGTGGAGGAAAGCCAGAGTTCCTGGAGAACTCACCCCACCACGACCCCACCCCAACCTCTCCCCTATCACTCAATCCCCAGTCTATTTTTTGTAACAGTAACCTTGACCTTAGCATCATTTAAACCTCTATTTTACATCTACATATCACAGTGTATCACAATGTCAAATTTTACAACGATTAGACTCTTGGATGCCAAGATAAGGACCATACCCCCCACCCCATGGTATAGTGTTAGTAACAGTGATTTTGACCTTGACCTTAGACATTTTTAACCCCTGTTGCACATTCAAATTTCCGGTTACAAAATGTCAAATTACAGAAAGATTAGTCTGTGGTTCGTGAGATTATCTCTGGAAACAAAAGTGTCGACGGGACGGACAGACACCGTTATAATTATAGGGCACCTGCATCTCTGACGTGGAGCCCTAGCAAGAACATCATCATGACTGGACAGATTTTCACATAACTGATATATATTCCATGTTAAATTGTTTTCTTGTACCTGTGATTCTGGAGATTAGGTGTTTCTCCTCATCCAGGTTGAGACCTCGCCCGCCAAGATACTTGAGTTTGGTGTCTAACAATTCTTTCGCCTGAGACCAGTGCAGGTTTTCTGGACACGGAGGGGGTGGGAACTGTTCCTGTCAATCATGTATACAGAGCATAGAGGCAAGCGGAGAGAAATTTCAGTTACATGTCAATCAAAGTGCACACTAATTAAAAACGTCAAATTTCTGTGGGTTCAATGAGAGCAGAAACTATTCATTTTACAGTATAACATTTGTGAGTACCAAAACGGAAACCCTATTTTTTCTTTTAAAATGAAATTGACAAAACTTTGTGGACAGGAAGAGAGAGAAATAATGTGTTGAACAAAATTTAAAAAAAAGCTAAGGCAATTTGAATGAGACACATGTCAGTGACCAGGCCACCATTATAGATAAATAAATATCTCAAGTCTTATTACAACAAAAGAAAAAAAAATCTAAATGAAAAAATGCTTATTTTTGGCTAAATATTCTTCAAAATTAAATCAACTGACACAAACAACTTCATCAATACCTTTTAAGATATGTAATGAACATTTTTTTAAAGGCAATTGAATTAATCTATTTTCAACTTTAAATATTTGCATGTTAACAATAGTCTTACCTCATCCTCTGGATTTAAACACTGCCACAGGAGAGATCCGCAGGCATTACACTGTTGACTGGCACCAGTGATCACTACAATTGGTAGTGACATCGTCTGTGAAATACGAGATTGACACCATTAAAATAAATGTTATTATAATAATTACAGTGAACATAATGTATATGGTATTACCATATAAAAAAAATTGAACTCCAACTTCAGGAAATACAAACTTTCACTATTGGAGTTGACTTTACTTGAGTCTGACCTCTTAACTTTTTTTTTGTACAAATCTAGCCTTAGGCCAAACAAAAAATATTTGGTGTTTCTGGTAACCCTACCTACCTTACCCTACCCTTAATTAACCTTTTAAGGAAATTTTCAAAGATGCACTTTTAAAGTCAAGACCACTCTCCTATATCAACCATATAAAATAACTTTCTTACCTACCCTAAATTTTTCCAACATGTTACAGGAAACACACATATTTTTTTGTCTGGCCTTAATAATAAATCAGCCACCACTTATTCAGTTGTCCTACTTATAATATAGCCAGTAAATTGGGAAAGACGGCCGAGTTCTCCTTTTCTTATTCCACATATATATCACAGTAATCCAGCCATTTCATGATCTAGACTTTTTCAACAGTAAAAACAAAATTGGCTAGAATAAAGATGTTCCTTTTGAATTTCCTTCAAAACAGTCTTTGGTGATTTATGTGCTTGTTTTTAGTATAACTTGCTAAATTTGCCCAACGGTAATGATATCTTTATTTACCGAGCTGTATACCTATCTCAGGATATAGGTCACAGTGACATACTTCTTATACTCTACATTCCACTAGCCAAATCTGATTACTCAAGGTAAAATACAGTATAGAAACAAACAAATTTTTTAAAGGTTGAGATCAGAGGTCAAACCATAGGTCACACTGACCTACTTCCTGCAGGTAGGGCGTAAGAATTGTACCTGCTGCCCCCAATTGCATGATCGTAAGTGGCGACTAAATTTGGGACCTTATCTCTTCTCTCCTTTCTAAATAACTTTCTTCTTCCTAATGTCTCCCTTGACAATGCCTCACTTTTGGCCATTTGTTGAGCGTTCGCCCCTGTGAGGAAGGCTTTGGGTTCTGTCCCCTGGCCGAGACATACTAAAGTCTTTAAAAATGGTAGTTTCTACTCCTGCTTAACGCTCAGCAAATTAGGAGTGGGACGACTGGTTCGCCCGTTGTCAGTATAATGTGACCGGGTGGGGCGTCCTGCTGGGTGTCTTCGGCAGCATGTCTCAGTGAGGTAGCACTATAAAGTCGGCATCAGTTCCGCGCTATCACAAGGAGACAAACACGAACATATCGCAGTCTCCCAAAATACACACACATACACTACACGCATGCATCTTGCACACAGGGGAGGCCGTCCTTAAATGACCTTAGCTGTTAATAGGACGTTAAACAAAGTCAAACAAACAAACAAACAATCAAACAAACTTTCTGTTAATGCACTCTGCCATCCCAAGATGTACTTGCATACCAAATCTGGTTAATCAAGGTGAAATAGTATAGAAGATATGTGACAGACAAATTCTTTGAACTGAAGGATGAAGCACAAACCTATAACCCCCCACACACACCCGGGGTCTTCGGGGGATTAATAAAAACTTGCAGTAGGAGAGATACATTTGGTAAAAACGGATAAAAAAATGCTTTCAGTCTAAAATGTTGACTTATTGAAACAAACAATCTCACCCATAGTTTGATCAGTCTGTCTCCAACCTTCAGCTTGGTTTGAAACATAATCCTGAACTTTTCCTTGGCCACAACACTTTCCTTCTCCCTGTTGAAACTCTTTAGTTCCAGAGTTTTGAATGTGGCAGTTCCTGTCCCCTTCTCGACGGTGGCAGAGTTGGAGGATCCCTTCTGTTTTGTGTCCTTCAGGGGATATTTGGATTTTGAAAAGTCATAAGTGGCTGGGTCATCAACCAGTGCTAGACTATCCTCGTGGACAAAGTATGCACGTACTGGCTCCACTGAATCAATAGAGGCAGCAGCAAGCAGTCTGTAACAAACAAAAAACAGGTGTAAAACTGAAATAAGCACATTCCTTTTGATAAAAAGGTTTTACTATTAACTACTTCATCCTTGAAGACACATTTGAACTCTTCCAATTCAAAGGTTGGAATAGTTCGTTATGAACCTCAGGGGTGAATGAGTCAACTCATAAAAAAGCTCACTGCCATGTTTTCTCACCATTATATTTTTGCCCTCTCAACAAAGGGCAAAAATGTTAACTACAGGGCATATATGTTGTATAAGCCAAACAAATTGACAGGAGAGAACTTTTACAATTAATTGTAGAGAATTGGACCTCACTGGTTGTACATATAATTTATAGCTGAGATGCATTTTCATCCTTATGTATGGTTATTATATATGATTACAGTAAATCTGAACTGAGGCTCATCTAAGGAATATTCAGCACATGCATATTGATGGGTCCAGACGTGCCTGACCAAAACTAAAATGCCGACTATGGCCAGTATGTATTACATGTATATGTAAACCAGATACATATTTATTTTGAGGGTTGTTTTTATGACCTTACACTATGTATACAACAAGAGGCCCAAGGGCCTTAGCGGTCACCTGAGTTATATCATAGATACTGGTAGCTTTATTTTCTTGTTTAGATGTGATGTGGAAATCAGCATGTAAACTAAGTGAAATACAATACTTGTCATGTCATCAATGGATAAGAATTTGAAAATATTGGTAAATGTTCCCTTTGGGGCCCCGCCCTAGCCCCTGGGGATGGGGCAGGAATCCTAATTTTACAAAGTAAAACTCTCATTTACCCAAGATGATTCTGACTAAGTTTGAGCAATTTTCTGCTGAAAATGGATAAAATATATACCAAAAAGTGTTATTTCCCTATATAAATCATATTAAACGTTAACCCCTCCCCAAGGGAGAACGGATAGCTCGGGGGTCCTGAAATTTACAATTTAAGTAAAGCCCCTGATGATCTTTCTTTCCACGTAGAGAAAATTACTGTAGTACCTCTGAGTCTGGAGAAGAAGATTTTTGAAATATTGGATAATTTTCCCTTTGGGGCCCCGCCCTGGCCCCAGGGTTAGGGATAGGAATCCCAATTTTACAATTTTGAAGCCTCATCTACCAAGGATGATTCTGACCAAGTTTGAAAAAAATCCATCCACTGGTTCTTGAGAAGAAGTTGAAAATGTAAAAGTTTACGCACGACGCACGACGGACGACGGACGACGGACGACGACGGACGAACAGCGATTGGAATAGGTCACTTGAGCAAAGCTCAGGTGACCTAATAAAACATTTACCGTTAAATAACATAAATTTTCTATCCATAATATACTTGTCATATAATCACAGGTTTTCAAAGTCAGATGTTGTACCACATTCAACATAAGAAGCACCCCTGTCTTTTTCTAGTCCCTTCCCTTCACCATAATTCACTGACTTACTTTAAACAAGAGGCCCAATGGGCCTGAATCCCTCACCTGGTATTAATCTCACACTTGTAATCTTAAAAGTGGACTAAAATACAGCTACAGGCAGAATATCAGTGTTTGATTCATAAGAACCTATTAAAAGATTTAAACATATGACACCTGTGACCTTGAATGTCGAACAAAGACATTAGGTTGAACAGAGTTTAAAGTCTTCCAACCCAGCATGCTTTTGGCAAATTATCCTCAACCTGGACCTATTGGTTATACAGAACAAGTCATTTAAAGATTAAAACATATATTGACCACTGTGACCTTGAATATGGGCGAAGGTCATTCATTTTGACAAAATTGGTAGCCCTTCATCCCAGCCTGGTAATGACCAAATATCATCACCCTTGGCCTTTGGCTAATTTAGAAGAAGTCGTTTAAAGGTTTTCAACATATTTGACCCCGGTGACCTTGAATATGTGTAAAGGTCATTCATTTGAACAAACTTGATAGCCTTTTATCCCAGCATGCTACTGGCCAAATATCATCTCAGTTATTCAGAAGAAGTTGTTTAAATGTTTTTAACATATTTGACCCATGTGACCTTGAATATAAGTCAAGGTCATTCATTTGAACAAACTAAGTAGCCCTTCATCCCAGCATGCTACTGGTCAAATACCTTAACCCTAGGCCTCTCAGTTATTCAGAAGAAATTGTTTAAATGTTTTAAACATATTTGACCCCTGTGACCTTGAATATAAGTCAAGGTCATTCATTTAAACAAACTTGGTAGCCCTTCATCACAGCATGCTACTGGTCAAATACCTTAACCCTAGGCCTCTCAGTTATTCAGAAATTGTTGAAAGGTTTTTAACATATTTGACCCCTGTGACCTTGAATTTAAGTCAAGGTCATTCATTTGAACAAACTAGGTTGCCCTTCATCCCAGCATGCTACTGGCCTAATACCTTAACCCTAGGCCTCTCAGTTATTCAGAAGAAGTTGTTAAAGGTTTTTAACATATTTGACCCCTATGACCTTGAATATAAGTCAAGGTCATTCATTTGAACAAACTAGGTAGCCCTTCATCCCAGCATGCTACTGGCCAAATACCTTAACCCTAGGCCTCTCAGTTATTCAGAGGATGTTGTTAAAGGTTTTTAACATATTTGACCCCTATGACCTTGAATATAAGTCAAGGTCATTCATTTGAACAAACTAGGTAGCCCTTCATCCCAGCATGCTACTGGCCAAATACCTTAACCCTAGGCCTCTCAGTTATTCAGAGGATGTTGTTAAAGGTTTTTAACATATTTGACCCCTGTGACCTTGAATATAACTCAAGGTCATTCACTTGAACAAACTTGGTAGCCCTTCATTCTAGCATGTTACTGGCCTTATATCATTAGCCTAGGCCTCTTAGTTATTCAGAAGAAGTTGTATAAAGATTTTTTAAGACAATCGACCCCTGTGACCTTGAAAAGGGACGAAGGTCATTTATTTAAACAAACTAGGTAGCCCTTCATCCCAGGATGCTACTGGCCAAATACCTTAACCCTAGGCCTCTTAGTTATTCGGGCCAGGTGAGCTAAAAAAAAGTTATTTTCTTGAACATTTTTAAAGGTTCTGCCATGAAGCTTAATGTTTCAAAATTGTTAGGTGTGCAGAATGCTTAATCATCAGGTAATATTGGGTCTTCATTTGTGCCGAAAAAATGTGATAAACGATGGTTTGAATAATGCTGAACACTGTATTATCAAGCCTAACAATGGTTAGAGACACTACTTAAACAATGTAAATATCTTATAAAGGATTATTTACGTGGGCTTAAATTTTTGTGATTTTGACCGGACACTCAGGCAATTCAATGCGGGTCATTTAGCAGGTATGCTCAGCATATAAAGGGTCATATAGTCAAATGAATAAGTTTTATTACAGCATATTGGACAAAAACAAATCAGTGGATTTTGTTAACCTAATCATCAACAAAAGTATTACTTGTGTAATATAATCTATTTTCAAACATCCTGTAATACGTCTAAATGAATTGTGACAACCACATGCTGGCTATTTCACGACATTGTGGTTATGAAGTTTATAATTGCAGCTCATTTTAAGTCTGTCATATTATTCTGCGGATCATATTTTCACCATCACATTGTTGACCAGCGAATTCACGAAAATGTCATTCGCGTGGAAATGTCCTGCGATATGGTAAACTACAATGGTCAGAGACACAGCAACAAATGGCAAAAATGTATCTAACCTAACGGTGGCTTTAAACTTCGGGCAGCTGAACTTTTTGTTTCCACCACTGTCCTCATCATCCTCGTCCTGTCCATCGGAACTCTTCTTTTTTGTACCCATACTGACTTTGATGAAGTTTTTGACCTGATCTGTGACTACAAAAGAGCTGCAAAAGAAGAGGATTCCGGATGAGTTCTGTCGCCAATATTATTTTACAAACACTTTGAGTCCACATCAACCCGAATTTGAGGTTCTACAGTGGCATTGTGATAAAAAAAACAAAAAAAACCAGCTCAAATTAAGTTCAAAGAGACTAAAAGTTTTGTAATATCAGCAGACAAAATGCATTTTCACAGAAATTTTTACCATTTTTGTAAAAATAATATCTACAAAAAATAACTTTCTGATCTATAAACCGAGCTGTTTCCCAGAGGCAAACTGAAATCCTCATGACCACTTTTCCACACTATAAATTGCCCGTATTTTGTGTATAATCTTTTACTTTCACCTGCATTAAGTGGCAATTCATGTGTCTTGCAAATAATTACTTATAACTGTACACCCAGTATTTATATTGTCATCTTTTACCTACACTAAACATCTAATGCAATATATAATATGGGGAAATTATTGTTTGAGGACAGAGATGTCCTTCCTCGATACCCCAGGGGTTACGCTCACTTACGCTCTCTGCACCCCTAGAATATGTCAAAGCAAAATTTAAGGCTCAGTGTGCACCACCTTGTTGATGAGACAAGAAGACTAGTTCGATCCTTTGATGTACATGTATATCAAAAGAATCGCGCGGTTGTGTAACGGTAAAAATTGACTTACTTTGAACTCAGATGTCGCTCCTGAGTCTGTAATCTTTAAAGGACAGGTATCAGCCTACCGATTGGTCAGATTTTTTTTACCGGAGACCAATCAAACGGCTATATTTGTGCCTTCAATTTTGCTATGACATATTCCAGGGGTGTAGAGAGCATAAATGAGCATAACCCCTAGAGTATCGAGGATGAGAGATGTCACACTATAAAATACGAGTCAATGTTTAAGTTACACACAAATCAAATTTGTTACGAGTAAGTATACAGAGGTCATACTTAATGTAAGATTCATATAGCAACACAAGAATCAAAGAGATTACGTATGCTCAGAATTAAAAGCATATATACCAGACATGTGTGTAAACCCTAGGGAAAAATAACACTTCTAAATGGCATATTTTGGGCTATTTTTTCAGAAGAAATCATTGGTTCTTAGACAAGAATTCAACAGGAGTGGATGTGTGGCCTCTCAGCACTTTTAATGAGAAAAGTGTTTTGGCTTGAGTTGATGTGGAAAGTTGAAACTCAACAGAAAAACCCGTAATATATATTGCTTCTAGCATAATCATACAGAGTTTGAAAGGAATTGATTAAAAAAAAATAAAAAATCTTGAATTTACTACACAATGCCCTTATTTGGCAATAAAAGGGGCATAACTCTATAAAATATGCATGTAAACTTCTGAAATGCGTACTCGTCTGAGCTATATTGGTATGCAATATGTGTACCAATTTTGAGTTTAATCAACCCAATTAAGGGAACTGAAGTTATCGCACGGAAACCTTGTTTCGGACGACGCAACTGACGCCGACAAGGTTATACTTATATGTCGCCTCGCGTTGCAGGCGACACAATAATAGGAATAGTTTAGCAAAGTTACTGGCTGAAAATGCTCAATTTTACGGTCAAAAATGGAGAGTCTCCCTCCAAAATAGGTAGAGTTGGCAAGCATGAAAAGGTCACACGCCATGCGACTTTATCCGAGATGAAAACCTGTGAGATCTTGCATGTATATATGCATAGCATAAAAATGTCTTTGAGTAACACACAAATTGAAGACCACGAATAAGTAGACAGAGGTCACAAAAAATGAAAGAGTCATGGAGTACCACACACAAATCAAAGACTCTACAAATCATTGATATCATTATATCAATATCTGTCCTTTAGGATAAGGAGAAGTCTGGACAAAAATGTGTCTTCAAACAGACAACACGATTCCAGTATAATCTTGCTTCCTAACTTTAAAGATAAACAAAGGGTGGTCGGGTGGCGCAGTGGATAGCACCCTGGCCAGTCTCACCAAGGCGACTGGGGTTCAATTCCCTGATCAGACGTGAAAAGGTGTGGGGTAACCTGCCCCCATTTTCTCTGGATACTCCGGTTTCCTCCCACATTAAGACCCCCCGCACGCTAACACTCGGGCCAACAAGAGTGAGTAGTATAAGTTGTTAAAATTTGTTTCATTATTGTTTTAACTTAATGAAAAAAGTTCATATAAACTTAGAGGACTTCTGATGTGTCAAAGACACAAGTAACATATTTCTCATTATTTGAAAAATCAATAGAAAAATATTGACTTTCGACTTAATTAATTAATTTACCACAGCTGCATTTCGTCGAATATGTCATTTATTTTCTGCATTTTCTGTGTGAGATTGGGGTCGCTGTCCACAGAAATGTTGGGTAGAGAACAGCGAATGAGGTCAAACAGGGTCTGTCCAGCATGTGCACACCTATAACAAAAGTCCACTTTTTATTGAATGGCACTGCAATAGTTGCAAAACTTCTTAATTTTTTAAACAAATAATGGCCAACTCGCTTATAAATTCAAAATGGTTAAACAATTATACATTTAGTAACCAAAACACTTTTTAAATTCAATGTCTATTTTTCTATTTATTATTTTTTCTATTACAAGATAATAATTGATACATAAATACTTGTTGACTTTTCATTAATTTTGATTAAAGTTTTCTTAAAATTGTCATGCTGTTGTCGAGATTTTCACATTCATAAAAGAAAAAGTTAACTTATTAAGCTTGCAATGTTCATATTTGTTACATCGTACCATTTAGTGAGCGGAGGTTTCGAGGGCATACTGGGCTTCGCAGCAACATCTACATAGTACTTTTTCTGTTCCATCCTCCAGTGTTTCATTTCACTCTGCAACTCTGTCAGCACTATATTAGCATTGTCTACAATGCTGCACAATGTTGCAGAAATTTGCTAAAACAAAAGAATTGATCAGAAAATGCTAAAAAAAAAATGGTTGTTTTTTCAAGTCTAATCATTTGTAAGCTACAAAATTTGAGATTTCAATATTGCATGTGGCCTTTGACTTAAAAGTTACCAAGAGTTAAACAGGTCATAGTTACCTGATTAAAGTCATCTAACATTTGTCTCTAGGTCTCAAGGGAAACAAAGAATCATGTTTCCCTACAACAAGGTAACTAGAACTGTAAGCTAAAGGTTAACTTATACCCCTCTCCCATAGAAACTAACACTGTAGGCCAATTTAAAGGATAAACAGGGCAAGGTATTTTAAGGCAAATTATAATCCCCCATTGGTAATGATTTCTTTATTTAATGAGCTGTACACCTATTTTAGGATATAGGCCACAGTGACATACGTCCTGTACTCCCCATGCCAAGACATACTTGCATATACAATCTGGTAAGTCCTGGTGAATGAGTATAGAAGGATATGCCCTGGACCATGGCCAGCTGTATCAAAAGGTTGAAGTCAAAGGTCAAAGCATAGAACAAATTGACCTACTCTTTATACTTTGCACTTCACCAATCCATGTAGATATTTGCATACCAAATCTTTAACAGAAGATATGCCAGGACAAATTGTTCAAAGGATCAGGTCAAAGGTCAAAGCATAGGTTACAGTGACCTACTTTTTTGTACTTGACATTGCATCATCCCAAGATGTTCTTGGAAACAAAATCTGGTTACTACAGCTGAAATAGTATAGAAGGAATGTCCCAGACAACATTATTCAAAGGTTCAGGTCAAAGGTCAAACCTTAGGTCACAGTGACCTATTTTTTATACTATACACTTTGATGTACTTGCATACCATGCTATGACCTATGACCTTAACCTTTGAAAAGTTTTAAGATACGCTTGACACAATATTCCTGTCAGACAGTCAAATGGAGTGATACCAATAAAATTGATCTTTTTCTTCTTTTCTCTGTTGAATAGAGTCATGAAAACAGTCAATTCACCTTGTGGTATCTTTTAATGAAAGCTTCATACTCCTGTGTATGACATTGTTCTTTTATTAAAGTGAGGTTATCGTTTGAAATATTTACTAACACGACAGCACTGAATTTAATACAAGGGGAACCTCAGTTTGAAATCTGAACCAGATCTGTCTAGTACTTCTTGACAAATAGTGATAAACTGGAACTATGAAAGTCCAAGATGGCTGCCCTGCAACATTTTTGTTTTACTTCTGATCCAAATCAAAATGAAACATGCACAACTTAGGACCTACAATGAAAATCCACATATGAAATTTCATAAAGTTCTGTCCAGTACTTCTTGAGAAATAGTGTTAACAAACTTGAACTCTCAAAATTTAAGATGGCCATCTGTCGGCCATCTTAAGTTTCTGATCAGTCCCCACAGTTTGGTATGCATAAGTAAGGACAATAAGGGATCTTCATGGGAATTTGATAAAAATCCCTCCAGTTATTTATGAGAAATAGTGTTAACAAACTTAAACTCTCAAAATTTAAGATGTTCGCCTGTCAGCCATATTCGGCCATCTTGGTTTTGCAATCGGTCCCAAAATCCGACATGCAATAACTAAGGGGGTCCTTCTGGTGAAATTTGAAAACGATCTCTCCAGTACTTTATGGAAATATAGCACTAACATTTTTCAACCCTCAACATTCAAGATGGCAGCCTGTTGGACATCTCAGTTTTTAAATCAGTCCCAAAATTTAGAATCTGTTATTAGTGACCAGGAGGGTTTTAATGTTTTGAGAAATCCCTCTGGTAATTTCTGAGCGCTAACAAACTTCAACTCTCAAAATTCAAGAAGGCTGCGTGTCGGCCATCCTGGTATTCGGATCAGTCCAAAATTTGATTTGCATAACTGAGGGACCTTAATGTGAAATTTGAGAAAGATCTCTCCAGTCCTTTCTGTGAATTAGCACTAACAAGCATTGTTTAGGAAGATAGGTTGATTCTCCTACTAAATTTTCAGAACATCAGTACATTTATTATGATACAGTGTCCCCAATTATTAAGAATCATTGCATTAAAAGCCTTAGGACACTATTTCCATGGTTACCATTTCAGTATCGCTTTTGCTGATACGACATTCCTCAAATTGACGCTTAGTATCTTCGATTGCCTCCTGATTGTTAAAAGTAAGTCCATTTTGAGGCTTGGGAAACAGGTCGCTTGGATCTAAAATAGTAAAATAAAATGACAACAAATGATGACAACGGACAGTAAAAACCAAAACGCCACATTCTAAATCTGCATCAAGACTTTATCATTTTATCATTAGTTAGGTGACAAAAAATGTAATTGTTTGGTAAATTTATGAAAGTTATAATTCATGTGAAAAATTGATAACAATTTTCTCATAAGGATTGAACTGTATTTCAGATATGAGATTGTTTGCTATGACTCTGGTAGTACATGTACATATTTGTTGTGACTATGGTCGAACATACCATGGTCTACAGACTGGTGAAAGGGTTAAGCATTGAGCTGCTATCAGTTGACATTTATAAGAATTATGAATGCCGACTGAACAAACACAAATACAATGAAGCACTTCATGTTGAATTTCCTTTTGTCAATTTGGCATCGATATTGCCTATGAATGCCAAATGAAAACAGTTCAACATGTAAATTTCATGTAAAAATTGAATTTGTTTATTGAAATTCAGCATTTGACTAGCTCAGATAAGTGTATATATTGTATGTGTAAGCTCATGAAGTGTATATATATTGTATGTGTGATCAGTTGTATCCAATGTTATAATTATGACATAATAATAATGATGACGTTCACAATCAGGTTATGGCATTCATAGCTTTCATGAATGCCATCTGAATGTGGTAGGGCAATATAATGGCAATGCCATCAATGGTAAATATTTGGTAGTGACTATGGAGTACATATTTGGTAATGACTATGGAGTACATATTTGGTAGTGACTATGGAAAACATATTTGGTAGTGATATGGAGTACATATTTGGTAGTGAGTATGGAGTACATATTTGGTAGTTATGTGGAGTACATATTTGGTAATGATATGGAGTACATATTTGGTAGTGAGTATGGAGTACATATTTGGTAGTGAGTATGGAGTACATATTTGGTAGTGAGTATGGAGTACATATATACGATAGTGACTATAAAGTTTATATTTGGGTTATGAATATGGAGTACATACATGTATTTGGTAGTGACAATGGAGTACATATTTGGTATTGAGTATGGAGTACATATATTTGGTAGTGAGTATGGAGTATATATTTGATAGTGAATATGGAGTACATATACATATCATTGTGACTAGGTTCAGCTACTTCACAAATATATAACCTCGGTAGCAATAATTCACATTTTTACAATCAATCATAAAAAACTGCTTTTCTAATGAATAATTTCTGTAACGTTTACACAAAAATCTTAATTGGACAGGGTCTGGTATAGATTGAGTGTAGTGTAAATGAACTGACCTGCCCTTTAAAGTGCACCATTTGTAATTTTGAAAGAAGCATTACAGAGTTGCATTCAAATGTACACATTAAATATATAGGACCACTCTAACATTGATTTAGGATCCGGAGCAACTATAGATCCTAATCCTTAGAGGCCGAGTAACAATATGACTTTCACCTATATATCCAGGAGGACTGAGTGGAAGATTTTCAAAATGGCTGTCACTTCTCAACATACCATGCTTACTCAATACGTCATTAAATTGTTAAATATATCAGGAGGAGTAACAATAATTTGAGATGGCTACCATGGTGGCCATTTTGAATAGTGCATCACCCGTCTTTCATCTATCCCAACTAGAGACGATTGCAGATTTTAAGAACAATAGTGAAGGCCCCATATAATAATAGGACTTTAGAATCATTAGTGAGTAGGGGAAAACATTTAATTCTAATATATAGTGAGGAAATGACAAAACACATACATAATGAACGAAGCCTTTCCTTCAGTTCCTCAAGTTTTTCCCTCTTAGGATCATAGCACTTTATGTGATTATCAAGTTCCTGAAACATAAAGCAGCAAATGTATGTTTACAGTGACGATTGCCACTCCGAAAATTAGTTAATAATATACTGGTGGCACAAGATGTATCAGTTTAAGTGAAGATGTAACATCAACATAATTCAAGCACTTCTAACATGTTCCCAATGTACAGTATATGGACATGTTCCCAATGTACAGTATATGGACATGTTCCTAATGTACAGTATATTCATGGACATATTCCCAACGTACAGTATATGGATATGTTCCCAATGTACAGTATATGCATGGACATATGCCCAACGTACAGTATATGGATATGTTCCCAAAGTACAGTATATGGACATGTTCCTAATGTACAGTATATGGACATGTTCCCAATCTACAGTATATGGACATGTTCCCAATGTACCGTATATGGACATGTTCCCAATGTACAGCACATGGACATGTTCCCAATATACAGTATATGGACAATGTTCCCAATGTACAGTACATGGACATGTTCGCAATGTACAATATATGGACATGTTCCCAAAGTACAGTATATGGATATGTTCCCAATGTACAGTATATGGACATGTTCCTAATGTACAGTATATGGATATGTTCCCAATGTACAGTATATGCATGGACATATTCCCAACGTACAGTATATGGATATGTTCCCAATGTACAGTATATGGACATGTTCCCAATGTACAGTATTTGTACATGTTCCCAATGTACAGTATATGGACATGTTCACAATGTACAGTATATGGACATGTTCCCAATGTACAGTACATGGACATGTTCCCAATATACAGTATATGGACAATGTTCCCAATGTACAGTACATGGACATGTTCCCAATGTAAAGTATATGGTCATGTTCCCAATGTACAGTATATGGACATGTTCCCAATGTACCGTATATGGACATGTTCCTAATGTACAGTACATGGACATGTTCCCAATGTACAGTACATGGACAATGTTCCCAATGTACAGTATATGGACATGTTCCCAACGTACAGTATATGGATATGTTCCCAATGTACAGAATATGGACATGTTCCCAATGTACAGTATAGGGACATGTTCCCAATGTACAGTATAGGGACATGTTCCCAATGTACAGTACATGGACAATGTTCCCAATGTGCAATGTATGGACAATGTTCCCAATATACAGTATATGGACATGTTCCCGGTGTACAGTATATGGACATGTTCACAATGTACAGTATATGAACATGTTCCCAATGTACAGAACATGGACGTGTTCCCAATGTACAGTATATGGTCGTGTTCCCAATGTACAGTATATGGATATGTTCCCAATGTACAGAATATGGACATGTTCCCAATGTACAGCATATGGACATGTTCCCAATGTACAATATATGGACATGTTCCCAACGTACAGTATATGGACATGTTCCCGGTGTACAGTATATGGACATGTTCACAATGTACAGTATATGGACATGTTCACAATGTACAGAACATGGACATGTTCCCAATGTACAATACATGGACATGTTCCCAATGTACAGTACATGGACATTTTCCCAATATACAATAAATGGACATGTTCCCAATGTACAGTTTATGGACAATCACATGTTCCCAATGTACAGTATAGGGACATGTTCCCAATGTACAGTATAGGGACATGTTCCCAATGTACAGTGTATGGACAAGGTTCCCAATGTACAGAAAATGGACATGTTCCCAATGAACAGTATATGGACATGTTCCCAACGTACAGTATATGGACATATTCCCAATGTACAGTATATGGACCTGTTCCCAATGTACAGTATATGGTCATGTTCCCACCCCACAGTATATGGACATGTTCCCAACGTACAGTATATGGATATGTTCCCAATGTACAGAATATGGACATGTTCCCAATGTACCGGATATGGACATGTTCCTAATGTACAGTATATGGACATGTTCCAATGTACAGTATATGGACAAGTTTCCAATGTACAGTATATGGACATGTTCACAATGTACAGTATATGGACATGTTTCCAATGTACAATGTATGGACAATGTTCCCAATGTACATTAATTGGACATGTTCCCAATGTACAGTACAAGGACATGTTCCCAATATACAGTATATAGACATGTTCCCAACGTACAGTATATGGACATATTCCCAATGTACAGTATATGGACATGTATGTACAGTATATGGACATGTTCACAATGTACAGTACATGGACATGTTCCCCATGTACAGTACATGGACATTTTCCCAATATACAATAAATGGACATGTTCCCAATGTACAGAACATGGACATGTTCCCAATGTACAGAACATGGACATGTTCCCAATGTACAGTATAGGGACATGTTCCCAATGTACAGTAGATGGACAATGTTCCCAATGTACATTAATTGGACATGTTCCCAATGTACAGTACATGGACATGTTCCCAATGTACAGTGTATGGACAATGTTCCCAATGTACAGTTTATGGACAATCACTTTACAATAGAAAACAACTATGCAAATTAATTATAAATGTATTAAAGTTTTTTATTGAACAGAAAACACATTTAATTTGATACTGGTTTAAAGTAATCCAGATTAACACTAAATTATACATCAATCAACAAAAAGACAAAAGGCTTAAATTCTGTAAACATAATACCTCTGTAAACATAATTCCTCTGTAAACATTATTCCTCCCTCTAACATTATTTGTACAAAGTTAAATAGAGTGAAAAGTGATTCCCCCTCCCCTGTCCTAAAATATTTACTATTATACAAGTTGTTTTCCATATGGGAATTTTTTTGATATTTTTTTGCAATTATAATTTTTCTGTGAAATTATAAAGTACCCTGGACATTTTATCCTTTGTCCTGCAAATGGATAAAAACAGAACTGACCATTTAAGCAAATTCCCTAAAATTAGAAACTATGAAGATAAGGAGTTTGACAGTATGCAGTGACATCCTACCTTGCGTAACGTGTCCAGCTGGTGCACGTTGTGGAGTACGCCATCTTTCTCCATCGTATCCATGTCTTCCACCTGACGAATACACTCACATGATTATGTCGGCCGTATAGTAAGAAATTTACAGACAACAAGCATTTCAATAAGCATTACATTCATTGACATCTGACCCTTTGCCTGTGACCTTCACCTTGGGAATACAGACTTGGGCCCCTTTCGCATATTATCTGGTTCAACCAGTTTGTCTGTTTTTAAATGTAATGTTTTCGGCAAATGTTTAAGCAGGCCTTGCAAGGCATTGTCAAGGCCTCTCCTGAAACAGCATCAGATTACTAGGTCTGACCTTATTTCAAAAATACAGCATACAGCCGGTGCTGCCATTTCAGCACTCACAGCTAGCATTCTAAAATTCTAGCATTGCCCAACCACGTACTCATTTACAGCCGAGTAGACTGGAACAAATAGTTAAGTATCTAGCTCAAAGATACAACACAATGCCGTGTCGTGACTCAAACTGCAACTCTTTGATCACGAGCCTGGGGTCCTACTACTAGACTACCATATGCCTCCATAGATATATCTCAGGATGACATAAGCTGACAGGCACATTGTACCTGGCGGTTTATTACAGTATAATGATTGATTGATCACATTCTTAAATCTAGACTGAGAAAAAAAAATTAACACAATTTTAAATTAGTTTTTAAATTCAGGATTCGGAATTGGCAGTCACTAAGTGTGCTTAACATTTTTCAGGACACTTAAAACAATTTCTGTCAACCATTACATAGATTTACTGTGGGTTAGCATGACAACTGCTATATTTAATGACAGACGGACGGAGTGTAAAACAGGAACCGGTGGGGGACTAATAAGTCATTACACTGCCTATTTTCTGCACTGTGGACTACAACGTGACAAGCTAAATCCTTACTTGACTCCCAGGTAGCAGCAGTTGTCTCTCCCCATTCAAACACTCCAATAGGTCCATAATCAGGTCTGAATGCTTTCCCTCGTACTTTTCCTACGATAACAGATTTGAAATTATCATAAATCAAATGTTATTGCAGTTCAACAAATCTTCTGCAAACACAACTTTAGATGTAAGACAATAAAACTCTTCATAGGTCTTAATCTATTATGAGGCAAGCATTTAGATAAGAAGGAGCTGTACTGTGTAAAACAATATTATACAATTATAGACTTTTGATGATCGATGTTCATAAGTAATAAGCCACATGAATAGTTCCCACTGGTGACAGTTCAGATCCCCCCTCAATCTTTCAAGGTAATCAACCTTATTGTCTTGTTTTGATAAGTCACAATTTTTTACTATTGCTGTTCGTTATACAGTAATACAAACAGAGGTGTAATATGTTTCTCATTTTTACAGTAACCTCCCTTTAACTTCTATTTGGATTTAACTGTAGCACAGTTCAGCAAGGAAATTTCCATCTGTCAGGTAGCTAAATTAGTAAGTGCAATAATATAACAATCTAATATCAAGGGTTCAAACCCCGGTCTAGCCCCGAATGTATTTTACGCTCAGAACACTGTTGTTGATTATATTTTGTTTATTTCATCTAAATGATATCTCGGAAAAGTCCCACAAGGTTTGGGGTTTTTTTCAGAAATGATCTATTAAAACCATAGTCATGATGGGAAAAAACAGTTTCCAATAATTGTAGTTACAGTTTCTGACAGTGGGATGAGGATCTTAGAACACTAACAAGAGGCCCATGGGCCTTAACAGTATTTATTTTTGTTGTTGAAATATGTACCAATATGAGTAAAAAATAGTTAAGTATAACGTTACCTTAAGTTTGTCAGGACCATGAGCTGATCATTCCTAGACCGTGTTTCAGTTAAATCGGCCTATTAGAACTTGTTTTTAAGTTTGAAAAAGTTGTTTTCAAAATAGCGGCCATGGCAGCCATATTGGATTTCTGATCAATCAGAGAAATAACAACACTTTGTCAGGACCATGAGTCGATCATTCCTACCAAGTTTCAGTTCAATCGGCCCAGCAGAACTTGACTTTAAGTTTGAAATAGTTTTTCAAAATGGCGGCTATGTCGGCCATATTGGATTTCTGATCGGCCCGAAAAATAACAACACATTGTCAGGACCATGAGTCAATCATTCCTACAAAGTTTCAGTTCAATCTGCCTAGCAGAACTTGACTATAAGTTTAAAATAGTTTTTCAAAATGACGCCGTGGTGGCCATATTGGATTTCTGATTGACCCGAAAAATAACAATACTTTGTCAGGACCATGAGTCAATCTTTCCTACCAAGTTTCAATTCAATCGGCCCAGCAGAAATCGACTACAAGTTTGAAATAGTTTTTCAAAATGGCCACCGTGTCGGCCATATTGGATTTCTGATTGACCCGAAAAATAACAACACTTTGTCAGGACCTTGAGTCAACCATTCCTATTAAGTTTCAGTTCAATCGCCACAGAAGAACTTGACTTTAAGTTTGAAATATTTTTTCAAAATGACGGCCGTATCAGCCATATTGGATTTCTGTTTGACCCGAAATATAACAACACTTTGTCAGGACTTTAAGTGGATCATTCCTACAAAGTTTCAGTTCAATCGGCCCAGCAGAACTTGACATTAAGTTCGAAATAGTTTTTCAAAATGGCAGTCGTGGCCTATAAGTATTTCAGCTTAAGTTGAAAATGTAAAATGTTAACGGGGAGGCATACCTGCAGAGCAGTCAAATCTCCAGAAATGATGATGCCATCTGCAGTATTGTTTTGACACTTGTCGTGGTAGGATCTAATCAAGAGTTTGTAGAGCATTTCTGAAGTTTGCCCATCTGTTTGCCAGGATCTCTCTTCATACGCCTTCAAGGCCTGGTTCCTATAAACAGAATTATATATTATACGTACTTCATGCTTTATCTTCCTTGTTTGAGAATAAAAAACAATGAACAGGATTTTGGAAATAGATTTATTTAAAAGTTTAAAAATTAAATATTAAAGGGACAATTTAGTGAAGCAAGTTTTTTTTATAACTTTGTCACAAAACTCTCCATGATTATATAGTTTAATACTCCCTATGAACAATTCATGTCGAGAAATTGACAAGAGACTAATAGAATCTTGGGGTGAGATAGGGGAATCTCAACCCAAGGGGGAAGATTCTTATGTTGCAAAACACGAGGCTTTGCCGAATGTTTGGCAACTTAAGAATCTTTCACTGAGGGTTGAGATTCCCCTAACTTACCCACAAGGGGGTGAATGATTCTTTTTCTCTTCCTCTGTTCTCCCAATGTGTGTCATATACACAATGTAATGATAATGTTACATGCTAAATTCATGGTTGACGTGACGTTGATGAATTGTTGATGTGACGTCATTGTATTGCTGAAGTGACCTCATACCATTGTTATGAATAGGGGAATCCCCCCGTATCAACCCTAGGGTGAGACAAGGAAATCTCACACCGGTAAAAGTGCGGATACACCTGTCCAGGGTAAGAGAAAATGTTTTCTTGGCATTTTTAATCAGTAACGGAGAAATCTTTAACTGTACAGCCGTACATTTTAGCACCAGCTGTCTGTGAACTTCTAGCTAACAAAAATGTCTTTTCAGCCGGGGAGAGAAGGTAACTTCTCGCTTTATTTGCCTAGCCTCTCTGAATACAAGTATATGCATATATTCTGAATCAAAATCATCTTCCAACAGCATCTAAAACATCGTTATAAATGAGTGATCTGTTTTATGTTTAACCCTATTGATATCATACTTTCTGCGGTTTGAAATTCTCCCAGTAGGACCCTCTCAATGTGTGCATGCTCTAATTGAACCTGTTCGTTTTTATTCAAATCCAAATGTGAACAGAAATATGTGATAAGAAGTATATATATCATGCTACTTATAATTCTTTCCCACGATGTATTGTGTAAATTGTGCTGTACACTGAAAGCCCCGGATATATTAAATTGTGCTATTTCTGTCGTACCTATTTTTATCAGATGAAACTGACCTCATTGGACGTTGGCTTCAGGTCATGTCATTATCAACTACATAAACTTTTGTTAGGAAATATATATTTTCAGTGTCGACTCGATTTTCAGGTAATCAAAACAACTTACTTCACTAAATCATTCCTTTAAGATCACCAACCATTACAAGTTAAATACCTGGGCCAGTATTCATGAAATCATTCTCATACTCAAGAACAGATTTTGTGCTCAAACCAACTTTCTTGTAACTTTGCTTATATCATGTGATAAGGTCAGATAGTAAAGTGTGAACATTAAACTCATTTACCCCTGAAAACACATTTGACCTCTTCCAATTCAAAGGTTGGAATAGTTCATTATGAAATTTCAGAGCTGAATGAATTAAAACAGAATGCGTCTTGAATTCTCTCCAAAATCTTCCAAAAATGTTGACGAAATATGATTTTTCATTTATTAGTTTCTGGGGCAAGAAATTGGGCTTGAGCACAGAATTTGTGTTTGAGCACAAGAACTGTTCCATGATTACTGGTTTTTGTTTCTCATTATATGACCTTTGCAAATATCTATCTTACCAGCAATGATCTTCTGCTAGAAAGTCTTCGCATCGCAAGCGTAGCCTTTTAATCTCGTCTTTGAATGAGTACAACTCAGTCCACTTCTTATTTAGTGTTGGGTCTGTCTTTATTAGTTCCACCACATAAGCACATGGCAATATATTTCCCTCCATCATTTCTGCATCAGCCATGTCTCTCCCAAGGCAATGCCACTTTCTGATGTCAAACGGACACAACTTACATCAGCTTCAGGTACAATTTGTATCTTGTCCAATCAATCTGTACAGGTTCTTATCATCAGCAATAATAATATTGAATGTAGTTCCAAAATCTAGCAGTGCAAAAAAAGAAAAAGAAAAATGGAAAACATTAATAAAAAGAAGACTTATAAATGTCTGTTCCCATCCAAGTCACTCACCTGGTTTTCCCTCACCCAACCTACTCGCTAGATCCTTTCTCACATGGACCTCACTCATCAGATCTTTCTGATACAACTCTCTCGTAGTAAGATCTTCCCTCACAACTCACTTGATTTTCACCATCCGACTTACTCACTAGATATTCCACACACATCTAACTCACTAGATCTTCCCTTTCCTCACCCAATTCAACTCATTAACCAGATCTTTACTGACACAACTCACAAGATCTTACATAACACAACTGACTAAATAGACCTTCCTTCACACACCTAACTCACAAGATCTTCCCTTCCCTTACAACACTGACTCATCATTATATATATATATATTCCCTCAAACAGCTAACTTACAAGGTCTTCCCTAACACAACTCATTCATCAGATCTTCCCTTACACAACTCATCCACCAGATCTTCCCTCAAACAACTCATCAAACAGATCTTCCCTCAAACAACTCATCCACCAGATCTTCCCTCAAACAACTCATTCATCAGATCTTCCCTCATACAACTTAATCATCGGAACTTCCCTCACACAACTGATTCAAGAGATCTTCCCTCACACAACTCATTATCAGATCTTTCCTCACACAACTTATTCAAGTGATCTTCACTCACACAACTCATTATCAGATCTTTCCTCACACAACTTATTCAAGTGATCTTCCCTCACAAAACTCATTAATCAGATCTTCCCTCAAACAACTGACTAACAAGATCTTCCCTCACACAACTCATTCACCAGATCTATCCTCACACAACTAGCTGAATAGATTTTCTCCAAACAACTCACTCGATGCTGGCTGTTCAATGGCTAATCACATTTAGCCTAGGATGTACCGTGCTGTTGCCCCCGATACGACCCCACTTGTCCCGAAGTTACCACCATAGCCGACGGGTAGAACATACCATGTCTCATATGTATAGTATCGGACACTAGATCTTCCCTCACCCATTGCACCTTAGATCTTCCTTAGGCCACAGAAACTTGTGCTACCCAAACATTTCCACATACCTCAACAATCATCTAATACAAACAGATGTTATGCTGCTGTCAAAAAAAGAACTCAAGAGACAAGCAATTTTATCATGACAGAAGACATAAATAAGAATCTATCAATGTCAATGTATTATTTAGGAAGCACTATAGAGTATGAAAACAGTGAAAACCTAGAGTTTGAAATATGAAGTAGTCTCCCACCGTGATACATGTTTGCAATAAATACATGTCTCCTAACTTACAACTCGAGCTCCTATACGTGACTTCTATACAAATATACCGAACAGATCAATGTACCAGGAAGTCGCTCTACATAATTAATTACTTGACATCCTGTAGGAGCTCTAGTGCTGATTATTAAGTACAATACTATATGCTATATCACTCAGTACATGTTTGTACTGTCACCAACTCATTTACCCCTGAAGATACATTTGAACTCTTCCAATTCAAAGGTTGGAATAGTTCATTATGAAATTTCACTGGGGTGAACTGAGTTAAATATATATATAATATCACCCAGCACTGTCAATATTCTGTATATTTTGCTATTTAGTTGTATTATAGATTTGTGCCATGACCCTCTCCATTGATTGTAATGGAATGCCTTAGTTAACTTGGGTTCATGACCTCATCGTGGAGTATTTCTGAAAGAAGACCTAGAAAATATGGGGAGTAGGCACCTGTCAAAAATATCTTGTAGTGTATAACTTACACTATTGGAGTAGTTCGTCAACGTATACATGCTCCACCCATACAGGTTGGAGATTGTGAAATTCAGTATACACCTGCTGTTGTATGTACACACTGCATTCTATAAGGGGCAACTAATGTGGAAACCCCCTGCAGAACTGAGGATTTGCATTTGTGCTTGGGCTACCTTCTAAGGGGACACCAAAGCGACCATGATAAATCGGTTGCACCTAGCTAATACAACATTTGGGATCTTTATATATATACTTTCCTCTTCTTCTAACTACCTTTTGTTTTATATTGCCTTGCTCGGCAATACCTCACTTCTGACTCTAGATTCAACGCGTTGAATAGTTCATGCGGTCACTTCGGAGGAGAGCAATGGCTTAACTCTGTCCCCATGCCGAAACAATATACCAAATAAGTCTTTAAAAATGGAAGTTGTTCTTTTTTGCTTAATGTTCAGCATTTAGGGGAATGGCAACAACTGGTTAACCCCTTGTCAGTATAATGTGACCGGATGGAATGCTACACTGGGGCCTTCAGCATGGTATTTCAGTGAGATAGCACTATACACTTGGCATCAGAATTCTGCACTCATAATCCGCAAGGAGGCAAATACACTAACATAGCCTGCCTCCAGCACACATTCACACGTGCACCTGTGGCGGTACATCCTTAAATTACCTCAGCTGTTAATAAGATGTTAAACCCTTTAAAACCAAACTAAAACCAAACTGTTGTCTTTTTGACAATACACATGTACATCATCAGTATCAACATACAATACACATATTGTACCACACAGCGCTGACAACATATACTTCATTCATTCATATCTCAATTCAATGTTACATAGTATTAAACTTGAAGACACAATTAATGACACACGATAGGCCCTACATTAGCTACTATTCTGTTGAGGATGGAGAGGCGTATATATATATATATATCGATACACAGTTTTACTGCGAAACAAACAAAAACTAACAATGTTAGAAATGCGGATTATTATTTTTTTACAGCTAGCAAGCAAATACAAGTGTCTTCTGTACTTAATTGTGATTGACATTATGTCACATGATCTGCGTGAGACCTAGGCCTACTGGATCAGTATGACATGCTATGGATTGAAGCGGATTTTTCAGGTGTTGTCATGAACGGATGCATCATTGATCAAGTATATAATCATGTGTACGTGAACCAGGATTAGAAAATGGTTATTATGAAACATTAATTTACAGAATACAAAAAATAAATATATCTAATGTTACTCACCGAGAGAAGACGGACCCAGAGAAGACTGTCATCTGAAAAGATGGCCACCCTCGAGCTCGATTCCTAAATATAACTTCTAAACGTTTTGATTGGCCCATAAAAATAGATGAATGGAATTCCCTGAAGCGTCAGATTTTCTGTAAACGAAACATTCGTAACCCTTTGGATGTTTTCCATACATTACTGGTAGGATCCAGAGATCATGATTGGAATTTCCGCGAACTGCTATAATTAGTATTTAGATTATATTTCTCCAGAATTCATCTCCTTCCCACTGCTGGATCCGAACCAGTTTTTAGAAAAACGGTTTATAATAAGATAGGACCAGGACTGATTTAGGTCTAAGCTCTAAGCAGACTACATTTTAATCTGCCGTCAGAGTCCAATGTTCATGTCTAAGGCGAGTACACAACCTTATGTGCAACAGAAATGATGATTTTTTTCTTATCATCGGCCATAGCGCTACGGTATTCCGCTCATTAAAAACACAACAAAATGATAATTTAAGAAAAACAGCAACAAAAATACAAAGAAAATTTGCAGTGTAAGTTAATTCAACAGGAATAACAGATAGTTTCCTAAACCAATGAATCAGGACTGGAAAAAACAACAGAACATAGTGCTGCAATCTTATTATTTCTCGGACTGGTTGGAGAATTGGCTTTTCATTGACATTCAGTACCATTTTGCCGTCATCGCCCGTCACCGGATAGGTCATTGACGAATCAATAATTACATATTGAAACGCTTGTTTATCTATCTATTTTTTTAAACAAACATGTGATCGAGTAGCGAAGATAAAATCAGATAGAAAAGAATATTTTTAAAAGCATTTGCATTGTATGTGTAGATATTAAAATATAAAAAAAAACGGGGGTTCACTGATAAAAGAGATATTATCATAACGATTATATCATTATATGGACTATGTGATACATATGTCGTATAACGTCAAAGAGGGTAAGGTGAGTTAAAAGACATCAGAGTATATAGAATATAGACCAATGGCTTTCAAATAGTTAAATAATGCCTTCGAGTCCACGGAACTGAAAAGAGTTTTCATATCCGGGACTCGAAAGTAATTATCACGAATGTGTTTCAAATCGACACATTCTATTAAAAATGTTCCACTGTAAATGGAGTGTCACATGCGTGGCATGAAGGTTGATCTTCTCGTTTTGAAAGGTACGAATGAGTAGGATATATATATGTGTGTTCCCAGTACGGAGCCAAGAGAGGACAACTTCCTCTCTACGATCAAGATTCAACATCTAGAACATCTAGATACCAGGAAACAGTCATTTGGCTACAGAGCTGTTGATATATGGAACAATGTTCCTTAGTCGGTCATACAGGCTACAACAATTTAAGACTGTGAAATTAGTTTGGACAATCATTGGGGACGTCTTGAACGGAAATTGAATCACCTAGCTAAAGCTACTAATATAACAACGGGAGTGATTTTTAAACTAAAATTATATTATATGAGCATGCATGCAGGGGTGTAGCTGGGATATACATCTTGTGTAGGCACTTTGCTGAAAAATATGCTGCTTTTTTCCAGGTCAACGACAGCAGTTTTTAAGTTTAATAAAATCAATTGATAAGTTTATCAGTGCGTTTTATGATTAAATATACAGAAAGTACGAAATTGTATATGAATGAGTGGTAAAAGTTAATGTTAGAATTTTAGCAGGAGTTTCAAACTAATTTCCACTGACGACAATATTATCGCTAGTTTATATTAAAATATCTATAAACTTAATTTAAATTCTTATTGGTGGGAGAGAGGTTCTTGAAATAAAAAAGAGAACACCGTAGCGTAAACAAAGGGAGAACTAAAAATCGATAAAACGAGGGCAAAATGTGAACAAAGGCATGAAGACCCTTGTAAAAATACAATGAAAATAAAACCAGCTGTTCAGGAAGGGTAAGTATCTTCCGAATTAAATATAGGTCAAATCCAAGATATGCTACGTCCATTAAACGAGAACTGGGTTAGGGACAACAAAACAACAATGATGAGCATAATCAACAACATCCATCTCCATATCACACAATCTTGCCAATAGTCTTCATTAAGCTGCATCTTTGAAAACCCTGTATTGTAACTTAGTCCGTCAGCACTCTACATCTATGTTATAATGATGAAGTGACTGAGGTAGAAATGCCTGTAGTAACATTAATTTCAAGCTCGGGAGGGTATATTAAAGACAGCATATTGTTGAAATATTTGAATGTTAAACTGAAAGTCTTGCCACCGGACTTAATAAAGAACTCAACCAGGTACTCAATCATTTGTTCTAGCCTTTGTGGTGCTTTTCACAAAATATGGGCAACAATTATTTCCAACTTTTTTTTATCGCTGTTTGCCCTTCTTTTTGAAAAGAAACCTGTCGTAAAAAGAAAAAAGGAAGACGTTCCTTCTGTTTGGTATAAAGAATGCTAGTGTAAAGGGTCGTTAAGTATAAAGCTCGATAGAAGAAACATTTTTTAGAAGAGAATTTTCAAGATTGTTCATCTTCAAATTCCATATTCAAATTATTCCACTTACCGAGTATACAGAGTTACAATACGACTGTAAGCCTGTTTAAATTGTACTAAGTTTGCATGAAGTCTTGGTTGAGTAACAAGATGAGCCCGCGATAAATCGTTATTCATAAGGATTCTGGTGAAATTCCGGAGTCCATCCTTATCATTAATGGGTAGTCGGAAAGATTGTAAAAGAGAAGCGTGAGTAGCTTGTATTTCGTCTTTCGAAGTGAATAGGTATGGTTAAATTCGTTATCAAGCATGCTTAGTTCTAAATTGCCACCTTGTCATAATCTGCTAGCCTACCTCCGACTCACAGGGACATCAGCATTTGTTACAGCTATATTTGGACATAAACTAAGGGGTGCAGAATATTTTTACATGTTTTGGGGATTTTGATCAATTTTCGGTAAAAATGCCGCCCCCAATGATGATATATATATATGAGTCTGGGGGTTACATTTTTACCCAAACCCCTAAAACGTGTAAAATTACTCTGAACACTTTAGTTTAGGTCCAAATGTAGCTGAAACAAATTCTCATGTCCCTATTGCTCCGACTGATATCACATGCGAACCACATCGGGGTAGAGTGGGCATTGAATTTAAGAATGGCGCCTTATTTTGCGTAGCCTCGGAAGACAAGACAGTTTCAATGCAAGGCGGATCCTCTGATTTGGTCTCAGAACTTTTGATGTTTCGTATTTTCCGGACAAGAAACGTATTCTCCGTTGGTTGTAGTAATATCATTGTTTAATGTCAGCTTGAAAGTTGTATTGTACTTATATGTTACAAGGTCTTTTGGAGCTAAAAATGCGATTTCCCCTATTATACAAAGCATCCTGGATATAGTATAATCTTTTATTTTAGTGAAAACACATATTCACTTTTTCAATGTTATGTATTTACGCCGACTAATTTTTTTTTTAAATCCACAAAATTATGTGTAGGCACGTACCTACTCGAGCCTAAGGCAGCTACGCTCATTGCCTGCGTCCATCATCTATTCTATTAAAAGTCATATAAAAAAAACTATTTCAAAGGAAAACCACCAACCGCGACGTGTCGAGAAAACTACTGCATCATGAGATACAGCTTAAGGTGGAATATCATAATAACATGATACTCTATTTGACAGTGTAAGTCTCCGGCAATGATATCTATGACATTTTCTTTAGAAATCTGGTTGTTTTTCTTTGATATCCAAATTACCGCCTACACTTATATTTGATCTCGCGAAAGCTTGTCACTAGCGTCAGTGCTTCTCACAACAGTAGTCTGGACAGAGGTAAATACACAAATAAATATGTGACAAAAATAGAAATATTTCTAAATATTTGATAGTTGTATGGTAGGATGATAAATGTATACGCTGTGTTTAATATCAACATACCCGTCATTGAAATTAGGTGCGCGTGTTTTACATGTATACATATCGCCTGAAACACTTTTATACCGTATGCAGATTTCGTGTTGATGACATTTGTATTTTTTTCTGTTAATTTGTACTTTTAAAGTTAATATGTTATTATTAAAGCAGGAATTATGTTTCGGATGAAGCTGTTTAATACTTTTATGAATAAGAAAACTGAAGAAACACTTAATGATTTGCACGTTGTATAGGACCAAATGGCTCGTTTGATAGCAAATACAGAATTGACTTTGCTGCAGGTCGCCCCAATTTACAGCAGATCTAGTCTTGTCTAAAAAATAGATCCTGCTTAACAAACAGTTGTGTATGGCATACAAAATAAATCAAAACAGTATTATTTTATATTCGGTCGTCTGCTACATGTCAAATCAATATATCTCATACCTAGCGGGTTGATCAATCAGTCTTGAGTGAGATTTGTGTTTTTTTACATGTACAATGTAGTTGTGGTAGTCATATTAAAAATGAGCGTTTCTCCTAAAAATACGATCGAAAAGAGAAAGCTTATAAAGAAAGCTATGTAAGGTTTAATTGGGCTTTTGAAATAAATGTAACCACATAATGCGAAATACTAACTTAACACGAGAAACACACACGGCGTGGCTAAAACATTGCCAATGGAAACTGACGTTTTGGACACCAATGACCATCTTTATTGACACTTAAAGTCCGTATGGCCATTTCGCCCATGAAGACTTATTTAAGGTTCAGAGAAGGCAGACCAGGTAACACCGCGATACTTATCTCAATATCTCCTTAAGTAGCCCCTTCGTTCTCGTAAAGTCCATGGTATGGTTCTTTGCCAACGTCGACTTTAACAACGACGCAGTGTTCTAACATCCCAACTGGAAACTTTACCATTATGACTAGTTCCAAAACTACAATGTAGCCAGCCAGGGCTATCGAACGTAATCTACTGTAACTGAAGAGAGACACGAATTGTCAATTGGACATATTCTCTTGTAACAGCTGTCAAAAAAGTGGCAGGCACTGTGTAAAAAGCAACCAATTTACCATCAGGAAATCAAAAACGCTGGCCGCTTTCAATAAGGGTGTAAAAACCTCCGTTTCAGACTGCTTTTTTATTATTTCATTGAATTTTGTTTTATGTCATATATTTTTTTAGCGCAACCTCTGGGATTTTGGAATCTATAATATGTACATGGGATAATTTAAGTAACTAGGTAGCCTTATTCACATTGTCTAACGAGTCGAGCCGTTTACGTAAGCATTCCTACGTAGTATCTACAGACAAATATATAATGTTGTTGGACGATTGTCATGAAGAATATTCCAATTTAGGCAGGAGAGACATCAGAGTCAATACATGTTCATCACACAGCAAGGATTCAACCAAGATATTGCAAAGATTTTAGTTCAATACTGATGAGCCCGAGTTTCCTCTGGCCCTAACATCAGACTTAGACATTTTGACATAAAGGTACAGACATCTATCTGTCAAAATGTCTAACTCTGGTGTCAGGGCAAGAGGAAACTCGGGCTAAACACTGCTCAGCACTAATACGTGTGTGCCTGATAAGTATACAGTTGTACTAGCCCGATTTTCCTCTTGCTCCGACACCAGACTTAAGACATTTTGACAGATAGATGTCTGGTGTTGGAGTCTGGTGTCAGGGCCAGAGGACTCTCGGGCTAACTGCTGTACCAGCCTCGGACACGGAAGTAAACCGCACCGGAAACTACAGCTCCTTGCCCTCAGCGGAAATGACCAGTTGAAGAACGAGTTAAGTGTCATATTTTAGCGGTATACTGATTTTTTGATGAATCATGTGTCCAAGGGGAATGTGAACGAACTAGAAATAAACCCAAAATTTCAGCTGTGAAATGTGTGCATGCGCAATAAGCCACCAGTGCGTTGAGAATGAAATCTAAGATATTTTGAAAAAAATATAATAAGGGTAGGATACAATAAGGGTACAATGATGTGTAGCTAACGCTAGGCATTGCCTCTGGTATTTTTTGTATTATTTCATAAATGCTTTAGGATATTCGTGGCAATTAAATTTCGCGATAAAATTGTACCTGTGAAAATTAACCTCGCAAATAATTAATTAGGTACTAGTATGCCCACAAACCATTCAACACGATTTTCTTGTTTATTGTTATTGAACTTAAGGACAAAATTCTTACACATCCATGCAGGATTTTCTTATCTCTGATTTTATTTATCTCGTTCGAATCTGTAAACGTAGTATGTGGTTCTCATCTTGATTTGTTAAAGGGACAATAACAGGAACCTATTAATTGGAGAGTCATTCCAAACGGGCACAAAATGATCCTTGGTTATTTTCATGGAATAATTGTAATAAAAAATTTCCTTGTATTCATAACGAAAGCATTTTTATTAAAGGTGACCTTGAGACGCGGTTGACTTATACTTTAATATTTACCATCGAATGACATTGCCACTATATAACCCTACCAAATTCAGTTGGCATTCATATAGGCTATGAATGCCATGGACCGATTGTCGACGTCATCATTATTATAACGTCATCATTGTTACGTTGGATACCACTGACCCTCCATGGGCGATGGCTGTTCTTTTCCTTGAACAAGCAAACACGATACATACATTATTTGAACTAAATGCTGAATAATAAATAATAAGTGTAATTGAATTTTTCATGAGATGAACAGATTCCAAAAATGGTAAATATAAGTACTGAACTCCTTTCAAATGTCATTCATAGGCAATATGGATGCCAACTGAAAGCAGTTCAATGCTGAATTATCGTACAGTTAACGGGCGAATACGGCTTAAACAGATATTTCAAAGAAGAAATAAATGAACAGACTTAATTTGAAAGTATATAAAAAACATTGGCCGATGTATCATGTTTGTAAACAGCGTATAACCGCTCCTTTAAACTTATCAGATCTTCACCCTAAAGTGTATTTGAAAGAGTTTATATATCCAATACCGAAACAGCAGAAACTCCATTGAAGCTGCAATTCCATTGCGCAATCTGTCAACAATGGTTGTAATGAGTATGGTATCTGTTATTTAACACATCGAAGCAGAGTTCAAAACAAAAAGTGCTTCAATTCAATAGTCCAATTATCAATATCTACGATGCTCAAATACATTACATTGAGATTCACTAGTTAATTTTGTCATTCTTACACATTTTTATTGATTTATCGGGTCACATTTAACATACCAGATGCAATATTATTTATATCGTGCCAAAAATGACATCGAGCCAAGGACATACGTTATAGTGAGTACGTGCGGGTTGTAGTTGACCGTGAGAGAGTATGATAAGCTGTGTTACATCGTTACAGTTTGCACGTCTACGCCAGTAGTTCGGTATTTATGTCTGTGCTAGCGCTCTCCATATGTTATACGGCTATCGTTAGGCTGAACTACCCCAACTTACGCTATTAAATCTCTCGTGAATTAAAACCCAACTCGATTGTTTCAGAATCGAGATACATGTACAAGCTGAGTAAGTGTTTATTTATTAATCATTTAATTTTGACTTTTCCTCCAATAGTTGAAATTTTCATTAAAAAAAGACAACACAGAAAGTGATGACGTCGCACACCGCCTTTTTTGGTGCGGTATTTATGGCAAGCCAAATGATTCTCGAGGGAGAAATTAGTTTCTGGTTTTTCATGCCACGAAATCTCATTCTGTATCAGATATCTTATATAGCAACGAGATTTCAATTATATAAGATATCTTATATAGCTATATGAGATATCTCATATAGCTATATAAGATATCTTATATAAGTATATAAGATATCATATATACTATATAAGATATCTTATATCGCATATAAGATATCTCATTTAATTTCTATATGAGATATCTCATGAGATATCTTATATACTTATATAAGATATCTCATTTAATTTCTATATGAGACATCTCATATAGCTATATAAGATATCTTATATATTATATAAGATATCTCATATAGTATGTAAGATATCTCATGAGATATCTCATATAGAAATTAAATGAGATATCTTATATAAGTATATAAGATATCTCATGAGATATCTCATATAGAAATATTGAGATGTCTGATATAGAATGAGATTTCGTGGCATTAAAAACCAGAAACTAATTTCTCCCTCGAGAATCATTCGGAGCACATTCAGGATTGCATTGGGCGCAATGGCGGAGAGGGATGGTACGGATGCTGTATTTTCCCTAGGCCTAGCTCGCCTTGTCTCTCTTATAGCGGCCAAAGCAGAGGCTGCCATTTCCCGCACTCTTGAAGTGGGCTCAGACATAATGGCGGCGACAGGAACACGTGTTGTTACAACAAGCCTACTGTCCCTACGTAGATCCTCGAGATATTCCGGACGGGGAGACTTCATTTTCGACATTTTGTTAAAATCTCGTTCCTATATAAGATATCTTATTTAGTAACGAGACTTTAATTATATAAGATATCTTATATAGCTATATGAGATATCTTATATATTATATAAGATATCTTATATAGAAAATTAAATGAGATATCTTATATACGATATAAGATATCTTATATATCATATAAGATATCTTATATAGCATCTCATTTAATTTCTATATACGATATCTCATATAGTATATAAGATATCTTATATATTATATAAGATATCTCATATACTATATGAGATATCTTATATACGATATAAGATATCTTATATAGTATATAAGATATCTCATATGCTATATAAGATATCTTATATTTTCTTTCGAAATACAGGATCGACATTGCTCCTTGAATAAATGTTAAGTTGGCTTGCCATATTTTTTGGTGCGGTATTTGTAATTCTAACTTCTGATAGGGTGAAGTTACTCAGCGATGAAATGTGCTTTGTGTAGCGCAAAATTCTTTTGTCCGGCTGTTTTTTATTATCATTATTATTATTACTACTTTATAACGAATAATCGGAGTAGCGAAGCGATTTTTACACAAAAGTGCACACAGTTTTTCGGTATATACCGTATAACCCTAAATAATATCCTAGTCATTCCTTAATTATATCCAAATCTATCCATATGTGTACCAGCATGTTCACAATGATGGTTACAATACGTACACTTTACTATTGTGCTACTTAAATAAACTACAAGAGAATACCAAACAGAGGTAAGCGCCTTCTGCTTCATCAACGACACCAGCCGTATCACACAAGGCACTGTCAAATTTCCCAGCGAGATGAAAACTACCATAAAAAAATGTCCTCAGTCTTTATTAACCAAGCTGCATGTCTTCATATCTAGCAGTGGCATTTATTTTTCTTCTGAACTTAATTATAATTCTTGAATGTCCATGGTTTCAAGAAGGTAACAAGCTTGTTGACGATTGTTTTTACACAGTTGGCAATCGCGACAATTCCTGTTGAAAAACGAGTAATGCGTGCTTGCTAAATAATAATTGAAACTATATATATAAAACCTATGATTTTGTACAGAAAACACTCTACAGGACATCTTCTGTTTACAAACTTACACAGCGACGACATCCCGACAATGACACCCTTCCATAGTACAAGTGTTATCACCGCGATAAGGCGCCTGACTGAAAAGATTGACGTTCTCACTCCAGTAGTTATCGCGTGTCTACCGCCTACAATACTGTTTATTAGCTTGTTAACAATGGCGGACGCCACTATTCACAGCGGAATCGTGGACGAGGTACACCCCGAAGTATTCGACATACGGGCAATGCCACCACAACCGAAAGAAAAGAAATCAGGTCAGCTTTCTGACAGCAAAATCAAACAGTTCTTCGAAGAGGTGAGCATAAGTTCGGATACCGATATTTGTTTCATAGCACCACGGACTTAGCTAGTCTTATTCCGTGATATCACTCATCGTGAGGGCAGGTCGTTTCTTTATGAGAACTAAGGTTTGTCCTCCCTTGTGTACGGAAGCCCAAAGGCGCATGGTTGTAGTGCGCTACCGCAAACCAGACGAAGAAGATGTGAAATCAAACGAAAAAGAAAACTAAATTTTGAAGTTCGAACAACAACAATAGATATTGTTGACTGACAACCTATGTGTCATTTTGGATGCCAGTAAACAAATATTGTAAACAATTTCAACGATTCAGTGTTAATCTGTATTATATATATATATATATGGGTTTGTGGACAAAGAAGTAATAACGACAGTGCAGACAAACACATTTGTCAAATTGTCAAGGCGATCTGTTAGTCCAGTGGCTTAGCAAAATGTTTGTGCACTTTTGGAAACAAGCATGAAATTTTGCACACATATACATATGACCATTACAGACTTTTTCTGCTGTAGAACCACTTCGACAGCGCCACCTGGTGCCAGGTGGCGCCACCTAGCGGCACCTGGCGGCAGAGGTGGCAGTTTTTTGCTTATATATTTACATAAATCTCATATGCTATATAAGATATCTTATATAGCATATGAGATTTATGTAAATATATAAGCAAAAAACTGCCGCCTCTGCCGCCAGGTAGCTCTATGTGGTGCCACATGACGCCAGGGGGCGCTGCAGAAGTGTTTCCAGTTTATGCTATTATGTAACAAGACATATATGCTGCAATCAGAATGTAAAAATGTTACCTATATCAAAAGGTATGGTCATTTATGTAAATAGATAAGCAAAAAACTGCGACCTCTGCCGCCAGGGGGCGCTATGTGGTGCCACTTGACACCAGGGGGCGCTGCAAAAGAGTTTCCATTTTATGCTATACCTGGCGGCAGAGGTGGGATATTTTGCTTATATATTTACACAAATGACCATACCTTTTGATATAGGTAACATTTTTACATTCTGTTTGCAGCATATATGTCTTGTTACATCATAGCATAACATAGAAACACTTGTGCAGGGTCACATGGTATCTAAGTGGTGCAGAAGTGGCAGAAGTGCTTAATAATAAAGTTCGATCTACCGTAGTTGGAATATGTGTATTCAGTTTTCAGACGATAATATATGTGCATTTGTGCAAACAACTATGTTATTTGTTGCATGTGCTCACTGCTACTAATTATATATTATTCTAGTAGAAGCATTAATGGCAGGTATCACCATCTAGTGGCATAGTTGACTCATCTTACATATATGCAAGTGAGTTACCTCCAATACATAGTCATGCTTAATTGTCTTGATATATATAAATTTCACTGTTTCAGTCACAAGCGACAATTTAAGTCCCCTATATTGGGATCAAGTGTTCTTAATAATGCCACTAATTGTCTATGGAGAATGCAAATGTTAATTAGAATACGACATGGTAATGTCATCTTATAACGAAAATATCCACAACATTGCCTCCAAAGCATACCAGATGTGTTTGCCTTGGTATGTCAATTGCTTTTTGTTCGGTCACAAGCAATCATTTATCTCCCTTAATTATGTCAATTGTCTATGCATAATCCATGCACATGCATGAACACAGCGTAGTACATGACAACTTAGCACGGAAACATCCACAACGGCCTGTGGTGCACACTTTCTTGCAGCCACATTTGATGAGCTCGCGACATCCCTTTGATGCTTCTGGTAGCGGGGTCCAATATGGCTCCCATCCATCGTTTGTTTTCGTCCAACCCCACGCTGCCGGATCTGGTAGTTTTATTTGTGATCTGATCGATTGCCCCCACACATGGCCACCTTGATAAGTAGCTCTTTTGGCATGCTCAGTGAGAGCTGCTTTCGTTGGAGGTAGACTGTCGTACTTGAATCTGCCTTTTCTTGTGAAGAGATCTTTCCTAACTTCATTGACGTCTTTGAGTTGGCTGGTTCGGTCGTAGACAAGAATGACAAATCTCTCTATCAGAGAAGTAGCTTCTGTACTAATGACATCAGTGCCGCTGCACAAGTCTACAAATGCTTCTGTTTTCTCTGGGTACACACGCCAAACGGCCCACATGGTTTTCTTTCCTTTCCCAGCGAATGCGGACACCGTATCACATCCCGTGAATGCGTGAAACATCGGCAACGATGCAGCTTTCGGTGAGCCTAGTGCACACGCAATTTCATGGGCTGGTAGATAACAAAATCCCTTGCCTGTGCCAAAGGCCACCCATAACTCTTCGACACCAATTCGCTCTACATATGCAATCGCTAGAACGAGGATGTCAGTGTCTACGGTCCTGATAAGGCACTTTTTACTGCCTTTGTTTGCAGCATCACTGGCATGAAGAATGACTCTCGTGTCCGCCTCCTTATGATTGCATGGACTAATGTAGGCACAGTCTGCATTTGGTTGGGAGCAGAGTACGTCTACTCCATCAGTGGCATACACCTCGTGTTCTGTTTATTGTCTGTTTATAACAGCGTGTGTCAAAAAGTCAAACAGCTCTACTTTGTTTTCTGCCACACAGAGAAACTTCATCCAGTTCGTCGGAATTTTAGATGTTCCCAAAACTCTCCGTCTGATCCCTGTTCCTCTCTTCTTCCTTGTTGATTCCTTCAGACTGTCCGGTATGTATGCATCCCAAACCACATCCACGCGTTGTGCATTCTGTAACTGTCTGTCAATGTATGGCAAAAATATGGCAGAGGCATATTCGTTGAAGGTTGCCGCTGTTCTTGGAGCAAGTAAATGCACTACTGTGGCACCATCCAAGATTATACAGTCCACTGTAGGTCCATCAGTCTTAGGAGTAATCAGGCTTTTCAGGCATGAAATCAAATCTGACTTGTTGCTTGCACGCAGCTTCCCATGATCTGAAAGACTTGGTGCGTAGGGATGATTCTCATACATGAAGAAGTCGTCTTGGTTAACTGCTCGTGTTTGGCAGGATACATACAGCTGCGACATAAGTTCGCGATCAACTTCTAGGTCAGCTACTTGCAGCTGTGAACGAGATGGATTTTTTTCTGTGGTCTGCTGAAGAGTGGCAATTGCTGTTTCGCTATGGGGTCTGAGATGGGTTTTTCTGCCTTCACTAGCCTCTGCTCTACATAGGCATCTTACGCTTTCACGCCTATTTGTTCTATGTTCCTGACCGTCTTAACTACGGACTCACTGACTATGTCCTTTGTATCCAGGACTAGAAGATCAGCACTCTCTTCAAGAAAGGGATTCCCCATGTCTTCAATAGTTGACACTAGAGACATTACCTGCTTGGCAAATGCAGTTTGTACTGCTGGAGTCTGCTCATGGTGACCGGTGTCATCATCTTGAGCAGTGAACGCGGTCTCAAATTCAATTGTTATCCTTGCTAGCTCAGGTCCTGCAACCATCCAACGTCTGAACGCACTCGGGTTTTCTGTGAGGCCTACTGCACCCCCAGATCCCTTCACCATCGCATTGTTCTGCTCATGACCAGAAACCACAGTTTTGTGAATCACAAAGTTACCATTCTGGAATTCAGTGTGTAAGTCTGGATGAACCTGTGAAAGCGTGTTCAAGTCTCGAATGTGAACAGGTAACCATCGGGCATAGTTGGTTTGATCCAGTGCAAAGAACCACGGAGTCAGCTTGTTCAGGGTCTCTACGTAGAGGCAAAAATTGCCATCGCGTTCAGCTCTAACGAACAGCAATACCATGAGTTGCAGTTTCAGAGTTAGCCACCAATATTGAAAGTGAGGGCATGCCACAACCCGTTGCTCCTCCCAGGCGCCAATTTCAACTTTTGGATCTTCTTCAGGAAGTGAATCGATGTACGCCTGGTACGCCTTGTGCTTGAGGATGGCAAGGCTAGCAGCTATGACTGGATGGGCATGTCTCGTCTTTGTGACATGAGCTACTTTAATAAATGAGTCTGCAGTGCCGGGCGTTGTTACATCTGCTTGAACTAGGGCTGATGTCCAACCGCTGTCTTGCAGCCAAGTACCAAGTGCTCGAAATGCAGCCATTTCAATATGTAGCCCACCAAACATAATGAGATATTTGTCTTCACCGTGTGTAACTGGCCAGGACATCTGAATCTGCTTTGCCAAGGAATACAGGGGTTGGTCTACAGCCATGACTGCGATCTGACCCGGATTGACATAATGTGTTGCATTTCTGATCACATCCATCCCATGCTTGACCATGGCAACTGTGTGCGCACTCTCATAAAAGAGTGGCAACAAGGAACCCAAGGTGACTGGATGTGGTTCTTGGGACTGTTGGGAAGCATGATACGCAGCCCTTGACACATATTCACCTTTTTCAAGTTTGGTCTTGTCTACTAGACGTCTCACTTGGACAAGCCATTCTTGTTCTTCAAGCATTGCCTCTTGAACGGAAGTTTCAGCTGGCGTAACAGGACCAACAATTGCTACTGGAATACACATTGTTTTTGTGCGTAGTATTGCTGGTGGGACATCTACATAGGCGTCTGGGAGTGGCACAACCTTTCGCTTGTCATCGTGTGGTGATGCAGGATGGAGCAAGGTTATACCTCTGTCAGTTCCAGGTACAGCCTCTGTCGGAAACTGGAAGAGTGATATGCTTGTTCCGTGGAAGGAATCGTGTGCGGTAGCTGATGTTGGGTTGTGATCGCAGTTATCAAGGGCACCTACTGTGAACAGTCCTAGCTTCATATTGACAGGACAAACGACGCCTTCTGCTTCAAACCTATCACATGTTCCATTTGCCAGATCAGTGATAACCTGCAAAACACGGTCATAGCACACGCTCATGCCAAGCTGAAACATCATGTCAACCAGTCTCTTCTTGCGTGTTGCAGCGTGTAGTTTTAGGCCAATATATAGAGGCAGCGGTGTTTCACGATCCGCTTTATGTCTGACCTGTCCAGAGGTAGATGCATGCCTGGAATGTTTTACAGCATTGAAAAGGAACATCTGTGATATGGTTAGGGCTGCTTGTAGGTCTGAGCCTTCCTTTGCGGACTGATCCTTTATGCTCGGTCCCTGAAGAACCATGTCAACTAATGCCTTCAAAGACTTGGGTATGACATGTTCTTGACACTGTGGTGGAAATGACCCATTGAATAAGGACACATTGTCGAACATGTCTAATCGCACTATTTCAGCCGCCTTTGCAATATGGATTGCATCCAGATCATAGTCTCTATGGCGATTCGCTTCCTGTACAAGATTTGCTACATCAGAGTTAAACATGAAAATCACACCTTGACCCTGACTACATTTACTCGTATGTGCTGAGAGATCTGGTATTTGTGACAAGATTTTGTCCTTCAATCGTGTTGCATGCACACTGTCCTTAACACCCAGTTCCCCCATTCTGTTATTGTACAACTGGACCAGGTTAGCTAACCTGAACGAAGGTCGTTCTTCATCACACCTAGCCTCGTCAATGTATGCAAGCAGTTCAGCAAACACAATGCCATGAATGTTACCATCGGAGTTACTCTCATGTGATTGTTCCAAAAACTGTGCATGTTGTTTGTACAGAGACGTCAAACAGTTTACATGGTATTCTGCTTCAGTAGCTACCATGTCGCCACCAGCTAATTTGGTTAACAATGTAGAGTCGCAAAGATCAGTCGCACATTTTCGCATTTTTCTGTCCAAAGCAAAGGTTGAAGCCACACGCTTGTATCTATCTGAAGACGAAATACTCTTGTCACAGAAAAAGCATAATTTGTCTGAAAAAACGCTGAAACTTGCAGATGGATTGCTTGCTGATCTAGTGATTTTAACATCACTTAGTCCGTAATCATTTCCTGACGTACTGCTCTTCACCTTGCGCTTCAATACCCGCTGTAACTTAGTCCTGTTGTACTGAACCCTGCAGGATTTATGCCAAGAAGCTTCGTGCCGTTTTAATGTCTCAACATCCATATTCACCAGGTCTATGGTAATTGGTAAGACCTCAGCATTGCGAAACTCCTTCAAACAGTCCACCAATGTTGTGTAACCTTTTCCAGAATCACTTGCTTTGGATTTTGCTGGACATTCCAAATGTTCCGAAGTATTTGATTGGCAAAATATGCATAGATGCCATTTAATAGACACGTTTGTATCGTCTCTGCTGTCCACCTCAGCCATGGCTAATGAAAGTACTACACGTGTTCCCGCTAAATTGTCCAATATAGCCGTGATAGATTTCTTCACTGGCCCATTTCTATCCAACGCCTTGTGTTCATGCGAACTTCATAGTAGACACAAACCTGCAACATCAATTATAAGATAAATTAGAACTCAATTAGGAAGTGGCACAGATAGTCCAGTGGCTTAGGTCCCAAAATCACAATGTTTGTGCATTTATGTTAGTGTATAAGCGAAAAATCCCACCTCTGCCACCAGGTGGCGCTATGTGGTGCCACATGACACCAGGGGGCGTTGCAGAAGTGTTTCCATTTTATGCTATTATGTAACAAGACATATATGCTGCAAACAGAATGTAAAAATGTTACCTAGATCAAAAGTTATGGTCACTTATGTAAATATATAAGCAAAAAACTCCCACCTCTGCCGCCAGGTGGCGCTAGGTGGCGCCACCTGGCACCAGGTGGTGCTGTCGAAGTGGTTCTACAGCAGAAAAAGTCTGTAATGGTCATATGTATATGTGTGCAAAATTTCATGCTTGTTTCCAAAAGTGCACAAACATTGTGATTTCGGGAGGTAAGCCACTGGACTACTGCCCCTTTATCAAGACAGGAAAATGAAAATTTACATATCACAACATAAAACAGAGAAAAACAGTCACCACTAGACAATACAAAATAAATAAACAAACAGAAGTAACTTATATCAAATATGATGTTGTAATTGCATATCCCCTCGGTTAGCTTGAACCGAAGGCTAATAATAGTAAATAATTCATCTTGAGGTCAGGTGAATGTAGTGAGAAACATCTTATGTCCTAGTAGTTCGTGTAAATGAAAACCTTGGGGTAATGTGAAAGAAAATGGATACAACATGTTGGTACCCTGTTTATTAATACGAATAAACATCTTGTTTAGATTATAAAGCCCGAGAAACGCACTAACAATTAGTGCCGAAAATGTCGTGTACAAAATCAACTTGTCAAAGATTTGTCCACACAAAAACTCGCCCTATAACTGAATAAAATGAAATATAATAGAAAATCAAAAGATAGATAACTTAATATTTAATAAAGATTTAATTGCAGGGTGGTACTTGTAACAGGTTAACAGGAATTATGAAAAAGGTAGATAAAAGCAGTCCCTATCAAGTTTAGGGTACATGCTCTGAGCCGGCGATACTGTAATTGCTCACACATGAGTCGCCTCGAGGGGTCAAGTATAGGGCACAGAATGTGAGCCAACGGTCTTTCAAATAATTAGAAGTTGGCAAATAAACTGAAAATAATAAATATAATAAGATGCGATATGTAAATTTTCATGTTCCTGTCTTGATAAAGGGGCAGATCGTCCTGAAAATGTGACATATTTCTTTGTCTACACTGTCGTTATAAGTAATACGCATCCAACCAACATTTGTTAGTTGGGATCCAGTGCCAATATTGGATCATACTGTCGTTATTACCTATGAGACCTATATACCTATGGGTTTGTATATAAAATACAAGGCTCATAACATTATATTTAGGATAAAAAAAAAACAATGTTACCCCATCATCATTCGACTCTGCTTTACACTGTTCCATTCCTCTCGATTTTATGATATTTGGTACTGTAATAGAGGTTATCTGTCATCCTTGTCAATCGAACCAGGTACATCCGGCATACTAGAACGACGCTCTACCGAATGAACCAAAGAGGTATTCTCCCTAGCCGAACCGGTATGAAGCGGCTAGTATTTTATCAGGATAACATACCATGGGAAATTATCAAACCTGTGGCCCTATTGCAAGCTAAGCAAAAAAACCAACCTATGATTCGCAATTTCTACTGATAACACTAATGAGGAAAAAGCCCAATGCAAAACAGTTATCCAGCTTTTAAGTTTGCAAAGGTCTGACTGTTATTGGCTGTGAATGAACTTTGAAATATATGTATATGATGCAGGGTTACCTGATTGTGGAAGACTTCTTTTCAAAAGCAGAGCTGGACGCTGTGCGAGTGGCGACAGAGAACCTGGTGGAAAAGCTAGCCCAGAAACTACACTCGGCGGGGAAAATCAAACGTAAGAAACCACGGGTAGCGCATATGGTACATGGTCATCCTCCTGGAAAGTTAGTACTTCTTGTGGGAGTCATGGTGTCTTTAACCGATTTGGAATCGTCCTGATTCTTGGTTTTATCGTTCTGTGTCGACTTAAACTTCATCATATGTTCTTGTGTATTTAAGCGGGGGTATATATTTTGTTATATTTTATCATGATTATTATTATTTTTATCAACTTTGGTGTTAATAACTGTCCCTCTTGGCCATCAAAAAAGTTTTTTTGTTTGTTTCTGTTTGAGTTACATCTTTCCATTAGTTCGGCCACAGATAGCTGAGATAAGACAAAATAAAGGTACATTGTACTAATACATTGTTACGTATTATGTGGTGATTATATTTAATGCTCTGTCTGTTGGTATGCCATTGTATGTCCCTAATTGGTAAATATTATTATTGAAGACTATTCATAATGTTTTGTCAAAAGTACATCCCCTGATTCGGAAAATATTCGACGCTTAAGCCTTATCAATGGCACTGAGTTAGACATCGCGGGTTTTATCTAATAACAACGCTTTGATTTGTCTTTGCTTTTTCGTCGTCAGTTTATGTCTTTGAATGTTAAAATATATTTGATGCAAAAGAACAAATTTAACTATAAGTTCCAAAATATAAACTGTTTGAATAAATATCATATGCGATTCAATAAGTACGGTTTGAAGGAGAATATCAATGGGGCACTAATTGCCATGATATTATTTGATATTCTGTTAACTTCATGTGGGTTTTAAGTTGTAAACAATCCAAACGAATATTTATTGTAACTATTATTTTGTATCATAGTATGATTCTTAATTAAAACTAGAGATTTATTTTATTATAGTACGGCAGCTTTTTTTAACATGTTTTTGTTTACATAACGATTGTTTATCGTAAACATTTGATTACCTCTTTATAGATTTGTATAAGGAATATGGATTATTTGAAAGATTAACAAAGATTGAGACCGAATTTCCTGGAGCCAATGTCATCCTCCATAAGACAGGAGAGCTACCCCAGGTTATATATTTAATGATATATCATTTATATAGAATTATGAATAAAATTTTACATAATTTATTTAAAATTATTTACTGCATGATATATCTAAACTACACTCCCAAAATTCAACATCATCTTTGCAACGTATCAAATTGCTTTATCATATTTATTTATATACATTTTAAAGCCATTTCGATACCATGTATATTTGTACTGTATTTCTATTATCACAAAATAAATAAATGGCTAGCAATTCTTATCGCACTTAAATTTAATGTTAAAACTTTTTGAGCAAAATATCGATGCGTTGTTAAATCTTCATCAGAAAATAAATACAAAATGAAAATGAATAAATAAATAAACAAAAATAACGAATTGACAAATGCCTTCATTTTAATCAATGTTTTACATATCGTATACTCTAAAACATTTAGTAAGTTATTGCAGATATTCTTTTTGAAATGTATTTTTTATAGTTTTGTTTATCTCCCTGTTTTGCTTTCTATATTTGACGATTATATTTCATGATTTAGACTGTTGAACAAAATTAGAAAGGTTTCCTGAGATTAGCTGCCCATTAATTTTATGATCCTCCTCACCCTCCTCCGAAAAAGCTGTACGAAACTAATCATCATTATAAACTACCTAAATCACATAGTTCATTACGAAAAAGCAATTATACTGAAACAAAACGACTTATAAGATATTTCCATAAACCACCCCGACAATATCTGTTTGATCAGGCCTATCGTGACCTGTGGTCTAACGATCGTCTGCTGAACGTCATAGAACAGTTGATAGGGCCTGATATTGCTTCATCCCCCGTTTGGAACCTCCGCACCAAAACACCCCGGAACGAGGCAACAGTCGTCCCGTGGCACCAAGGTAAGGACAACTTCATCCAATGTCCACCAGACAATTGATAAATCGTTGGGATTACTTCAAAACATAGCTGATTTTGGCAGATTCCTTAATCTTCGAAAGTAAAAATACAAAGTCTTCTTATTCTAGTAATTTGAAAGAAATTAACATTTATGCTAACATAACACACTTACATTGTTTTGGATAATGGATATGTTGTAATATTAAATATTTATACTTATTATCAAATTTATTTTCAAGTAAAACATACAAAAAAGATAAATATATATTTTTAATGACATATTGATTAGCAGCTACTGTGCAATTAATCAGATTCTAAAGTACAAAATTGAGTTATGATTTACTATGACACTGCGCTGCTATATACAAGGCCCACGGTGAGCATTGACTACCTATAGCGTTTTGTTGTTACAGACAGTGCCTACTTTGATAACGATTCCTACAAGGTTTTGGTGCCTACGGCCTGGATACCCCTATTGGATACTGACGAGTTCAATGGTGGCATGCAGGTACCAATTGCTCTTGGTGTGTGAGATAAGTCGGAGCAAGCTTAATTACTCTAGTTGACTTATTTGAAAGATGCAGAAATAGAAAATCGTTTAAGATATAATGCGTATACATATCTATTTTATCTTTGCTATCCATTTATTATAATGGAACCTTTGGTAGGCAAAGGGGTTGTTTGGTATTAGCTTTCAGCTATTTTTCCAATTCTTATAAATTAAAATTATCATCTATTTCAAAATACGTGTTTGAGGAAGAATAAGGTACTATTTTGGGTCAACACAATATCCAATGTTCTATTAGGATTGTCTTCTGTTTAAAAACAACTACCTATCTAACTTATGTCTACGAAAAATCAAAATCAATATTTTCCATTAACAACACCATTAATATAAATGCGTCATATAGTGGGTATACTTGGTATAAGTACATTATAAATATCGGCATGAAGTTCAGCGGATACGCGTTAAAAGATACTTTAAAAACATACCATTTTTACCCTATAAAGGGGTTGACCGTACCGATCAGCATAACTAAGATAGGGATCTAGGATAAACGTGAAGATGTCTTTAGGCATTTTTTCCTGATATGTTATACCATACATAAATAACAAAGGTTACTTCAACCTTCAAACCTAAGAAAATGAAGTAAAAGTAAATATTGTATGGTTATCACTAGGTTGCCAAGGGTGCTCACAGTGCAGGGAAAATCGCGACGCATCAGTGTTGCTATGGTGGTACCTGGTACGTGATGTTGGAGGAGGAGGAAATGGTGAAGTCTCTAGGTACGTACCTCCTTAAATCTTCATCTCACTCACAACAGGCTAGTTATCTACATCACTAGATTTCTTCATCCGTTACACCAGTCACTAGGTGATATATTAATACATATCTTCTTTATATACACAAATCGCTAGATGCATTGAGTATATCACAATATTTCTTCATCCTATTATCACACATTGTTAGGTTTGGGCATCATTAGGTGGCTTCATACATCCCGTAAAGACTATGAATATGATCATGTGTTCGACCAATGGAGCTGACATGTGACTGTATTTTCCAGGTGTTGACATTACCAGAGACCTTGTCACGTGCCCCATACCATACGGGGGATTTCTTCTTTTCAACAACGCTACGCCACATAGAAGGTAGGTTGCAAGAAGTGGCATTGTATATTGATTTTTTAAATATTAAAAGATGAAAAAATATTTAAGCGAAATATTAAAAAAAGAACATACTGTCAAATCTGATGGTGAGACGAATGATAAAATGTATGTATAAATCGTTCAGTGCATCTTATTAGGATATCATTTGATGTCTTCTGATTGTGATGTAGACATAGCATGTTGTTATTGCTTATAAAAAACGAAAGGTTGATGTTGTCGTAGCACAGTGACTTTCGGTCAAATGATCTGATGCTATTATTGAAAGAAGAAGAGGGACAATGCTAAGTTCATCACTGTGATGAAAGTTTGCTTAACATCATGTTTCAATCCGATCTGACGTCACGATTATGCTTGAATCCCACCAAAATATATTTAAATCCCGTTTGATATCACAATGATGACGGCAGACTGCCAAGCTTTTTTCTTTTGTCTGCAGCAAGAATAAACGCCTGCCTATATCCGATGTCTATCTAACCGCATGGTTAAATTTCTAGCGTACCTTGCTGCATTTATCCTGAATCATCAATATATTTGCAGTCTGCCTAACTTGTCGAAGCAGGTGCGTTGGGCTCTTGACCTGCGATGGCAGCGCCCTGACAAGCCGTACGGCCTCTGGGACATGAAGGACGGCGTGATGATGAGGTCATCCTCTGACCCTCATGTCAAGATTGACTGGGACGCATTCGTGGCCGTGGATCGGACCGCCCTGCAGAAGGATTCTGTCAAGGACTTGGATATTGTGAGTACTACATCACTAATTTATGTTTTATTTCTACCACCCTTCAAAGGTGTTTCCCGTTTCAGCCAGGAAAGATCAGCTTGTCAACCCTAGGGGGAGATAGCCTCGTACAGGAGAAACATAAGCTTTTGAGGATGTTACAGAAACAATCTCTATCCCTTGGGGTGATTGTTCGGTAGATCCTCAATCAATCCCCACATCTCCGGGTTGGAGATTTCTCTGTCACATCCTCAATGTAGGGGAATATTCTATTAGTAACTTCGGATACGCAAATGAAGACGATATTATTCGTTTTGTTTCGGTTGTATCAACTTTCTCAAATGTTGAAATTAGGACCTATTCTGAAAATCGAAAATATTCCAGTATGAGCTTATGGTTGAAACGAAATATTTTGATACTGTTTCGAGCTGGAGATCACGATCGATGGTTATATTTCAGATAATATAGTGCTTGTATATAAGGCATAGACTCATAAAATGTACACAGGTACATAAACAAATCTTCTTGTCTTTTCCCTGTGATCCCTATAGCACAATCTCGATAGCGAACTTGTATTGTTAACCGATATCATTTTCATTTAAGTTCTTTTATTTGAATTTTATCAAATTAGGTGAATATCTTGCTGAATATCTGACTATTTATTTGTTTCGCAAGGAATGTGATCCCGAGTTCGACACCACCATTCAGGGACCGTGGATGAAGAAGTGGGATATAGTGCATATGAACCAGCATACGAAACGTCACGAACAAATGGAAATGGCAAAACAGAAGTAAACAGACGAGGCGTCTCGAACATATGGACACGACAAAACAATTGTAAACACACAAGGCGTCACGAAAATAGGAACGTCAAAATACAGAGGCATACGTACGAGACGTCACGAACAGATACAGAAAATTTAATTTGCTCCAACCATTTCCCGGTCAGTTCCTCGAAAAAAAAGTTTAGATCTTACAATGGTTAGTTCTTCATTGCCCTCGATATAAACATTGTCTTCCACAAAATATAATTACAACTTTATTTTCATTGTATATGCATTTATATAAAAAGTTAACTTTCCTCTTATTGTATTAAGTTTTCTACAAGGTAATGTTGAAAGTGACCGAAATGTGCCTTGTAAGATATTATTGTGTTTCAAAATAGGAGGAAAAGTGTAGAGAGCGTCAGTTTATTAACATTTAGTATTACTAAACACTGTAGCTCAGCATTACTTAAAGATTGTGTGTATTTGAGAGCCCGATCATAAACAAAAATATGTATGAATATGATGTTGAAATTGTTAATACAGTTACAAATAAAGATATTGTTATTTTTTTTTATCTTAGCTTGTTTTACTCACAATTCAAATATGGTGTTCTGAGTGATGTTAGCCATTATTATCACCGGAAAGTTATTTAATCTGAAACTTCGCTGTCTAGCAGAGCTAATTAGGATATTAATGGAAAAAAGACGTACCTACATGCAGTTGTTTTAATTGTGACAAACCAAACATATGACTGATATTACTTATGCTACGTATCCTAGCATATGTTTTTGTATTGAGAAGCGTTTTAGTAGGAGTGGTGTATTCCCTTAATAACGATTATGTTACTTATAAAACAGTTTTATATAATGGTTTTATTGACGGTATGTAACAATTCTTAACCATTTATGTAACACACAATAGAGTCAACATCTACCGTCAAAACCTCGTACTAAATTGTAAAGCCTTATCCTCGGGTAAAGATTTACCTATGTTCAACATACAGGAGTGCTATATTCACACCTGGGTGAACATACAGGTCTGTGACAAAATGCAAGTTTGTGTAAAATAGCAAAAATGAAGATAATGCCGTTATTATGAGATATTTAATGAACGGTGCACGAGAAATTATCCCTGTAATTGCTATAGAGCGAAATCCGATTATCATGACGACCGTCAATGGTGTGCCTTACCAGAAATTTCTATAGAGAGAGATCCGGATATCAGGAGGACCGTCAATGGTGTGTCTTACCAGTTATTGCTACAGAGAGAGATCCGAGTATCATGAGGACCGTCAATGGTGTGGTGTGTCTTACCAGTAATTGCTACAGAGAGAGATCCACGTATCATGACGACCGTCAGTGGTGTGTCTTACCAGTAATTGCTATAGAGAGAGATCCGAGTATCATGACGACCGTCTGGAATGTGTCAGTGTCCATCACTGCTGTTCATCCACCTGTCACATAGAACAGAATATTAGTCCTATCTGGCATTTTAGAACAAATACAGCGAAACAAAGACAACAACGCCTATCACCACGATTTATTTCCATTCCTAAATTATCAATTTTCATTAGAACTATATCATTTTTATATATATTGACAAAATGAGGAGGTAATGCTATTTAGATAGACACCTAGAATGCTTACCTAGACCACAGACGGTGTATAAAACACTTACCGAAGATAGAGTATATCAGTCTCACCTAAGATGGTGTAAATCGACGTGATCACCAGCAATACAATTATTGACAGGTACATATCTCAACCGAGGGTCATATGGATAAACATGGATTCGGAAAATATGCTTACATTTATGAAGAGACAGGTGTGTTTGTTTGTTTGTCGCAAAATGCCTGTTCTTTTAGTTATTTATTTTTTTAAATTTTAAATTGGGTTATTCTAAATTCTGAAACAGTCTCAAAATATCTTACGATGTATAGCTTAGACAAGTTGACATACGATGCTCATGTCTTGTACTCACGGCCAGTTTTGTGACAACATACAGGACCAGAGCGATACAACTTAAATACGTACTCAGCTTCCGTCCACCATGGCGCTTCTCGATGTACTCCGGAAGTGTATACACCTAAATAGAAGTAGGGAGCGATCTTGATTTTATCACGAATTATCGTCCAGTTTTACCCTTGTAGGTCGGGTATTGAAAAAAGAATACACCGACTGGGACCCACTACATCTTGTGAGAGGCAACTAATGTAGGAATTCCAAGGACGGGGTATACGGAGTCATCAAAAATAATAGTGGTTGTTCCCTGCTAAGCATTCAGCATTTTAGAGCACTCTTACATTCAATATCAGATCCTCGCGATCGCAGGGGGGCAAACACACCAGCATACCATGCTTCCAGCACACGAACACACACGTACATTACACACAGCGATACATGTCATTACATGAACTTAGACGATATTCAAACTATAAGTAAAATAAAAACAATTCATTTCTAAAACATAAAACAGCCTTGTCCTATATGTTGTCAGACAGAAAGATAAATAAACAGGTCCAAACTGCCATTAACTTACCCCGGCTGATATGTAGACAGGTAGGAACAGCCAGCCACATAAAAGGATCAGAAATATAACCTACAATAAAAATAAAATTCTCGATAAATGACACAAAAATATTACAGCGACTGCAAAGAGTTTCGTTAACCAGAGATAAAACCATTATATACATACTTTCAAACCCGTCATGTAAGACTAAGTATATAACCATTATAAACATAATAAAACACAACTCTTCTTAAACAAGGCCTATCTCTAATACCTACATACGTACAAGATCATGGCTATACCCGAAGAGACGCGCCTGCTCCAGCCAAGCCCACGAAATGTTCGCTGCCAATATTATTGGAGAACAGTGACGCCCGACCTGATCAAATACAAGGAAACATAGGTTCTTGTCTGAATACATCAATACTTTAGTGTGAGACTCGACACAAAAGTAGCATATTTCATATTAAAATCTTAGATTATTTGATATATATTGTTATACGGCGTTCTACCACACGTACGGTCTTTACTATAATACAATGTCGACTTTACTTACAGTAAACCAGGGCATGGACCTCCCCGCCAAGAAGTAGCTCTTCACATTTCCTCTGTTCGGTCTTCGAAGTGACTAAAATGTAGAAGAACATAATATACCTATAGAGTCAACTACGTTGTATAATCTGGCGGGAAATTTAAAGACGAAATTTTGTGAAAGTCCATTATCTCTGGAACAATATGCCAGTTGCTATAAAGTTTGCGGTTAGAGACTTTGTACACTTTTGGGCTCTGGTTGAACTTTGAATACGAGGATAGGAGTACAATAAGTTTAATAGCTGTTAAATAAACGGTTGGCAAAATTAAACAATAATTAATTTTTGAATAAATATTGATTTGAAAATAATTGTATAGTTTTTAAAAAAAAGAAGATTTGTCACCAGTTTTGAACAACCTTTCATACATAACGTGCTGTCAGATACCAAATCAACAACTACTGGATTGTCCAAGGGCTCTAGATCTGTTCTTTAACATTTTCAATTGATATTAATGATAATTTGGTAAGCCTCTTCAAGCTTGACAAAATGGACCTATCGGTCTTGAAACGTTGCGACACGCTTACTACGTACATTGTTTGTTTAGAAAGTAAAACTTGGATATCACATATTTCCAAATTAATTAATCTTATTGAAGACTCTTGGAGCTATTTGCAATTCATACGTATATCACATATTTAGACAATTTACGTTAAATATTTAAGTTTGTTTATGAATATTGACCTTAAAATAATGACACTTGAGCAAAACGTAGACGATAAGGTTTAAATCCAGCAATCAATGAGGCATTGAATCTGAACTTGATATCAGTAAATTTTTGACGATATAAATATAAACTTAAATTCAACAAACAGCTGAGACTATTTCTTGCAGCAAAATTAAATTGAATAACTATATTGAAAATATTTGTGAAACCTCATCGAAAAAAATGAAGCCTTACGTTGGTTGAAATGTATTTATTATCGTAAAATCAGGAACGAATATAAATAGTTTATTATACACTTATTTGAGTACGTCTTTGTTGTATGAGGTGGATGTTTACGAGGCGATGGATTATAATTAGAACCAAGTTCAAATTGATGCTGCACAAACGAATGCCATCTGGTGCAATCAGATAATCCTTCTACTTCGAAACTAGTTCGGGAAAATAATATATACAAACAATAAAGCTATGTTATATTTTATTATTTTATGTAGTAATTAATTAAACATTTAACCCTTTCTTACCTCCGTGATATTCTTCCACCCCATTCATTATCTTCAACAACTTATACTTTAAGAAATCCAAATCTTAGAACAGTCAAATGTACACCTCGCATCACATATAAACTCATCCCTTGTACTGAGATCAGTAATACAACAATGTTATTAACCTTGTCTAGGATATGTTTATGATGTCTACCTCATCACAGATGTGATGAATTTACTTGTAAAATGACTACGTAACAGGTATATAGTCGGTATGACATTCAGAATTAGACCAACACTTGTATAACTTACTAAATCAGATTGCCATAGGCGATTCCTATATACAGTGTTTGTTAGTCTGTTGTCTTGACCTTTGCACGTTTCCTTTACTCTAACTTCAAGATAAGCAATCAAATAACTGACGTAACATTACTGTTATCATCTTATGATCAACAGCTTTTTTTTCATGAATAGACTCTCATCATTAAAATAAATTTTAAACTAGGGAAAACAGGCCTGCTAATGCATAAATCCTTATTTTATGTACCCTTTATATGTTATTTGTTGTGATTTGATAAGTTCATAAATCGATTATCATATTAAGGATGAAAAAGAACAGTCCCCACAATAAACGGCAGTTATTGGTTAAAACCGACGTATAGACAAACAAGCTGGCTGCTTAGAACTCTTTAAACGTGATTATGGCCGTTTGAAGAAAGGCAGTACAGATGGAACGTTACAAGGGTCAAATACGCATACATACCCACAGACCGACGCTGATGACGATGACAAAGTAGACGACGACGATGAGAATGTCGGCCCAGTGGTTGAGGCCCTTCGCCTT